TAAGCATAATATCACTGATAAAGGTAATTGCTGCCCTGAGACACTGGTTGCTCTGGTACCTGAACCAGATATTGTGCTTTATTCTGTAGGTCATCACCGACTGACTGAAAACAATGGCATTTGCTAAAGATGATACAATAGAGAGAAAAGATATATCCATGTGTGTCTTGAGTGCTTAAGAGAGAGAATGTGTGTGTGTGTGTGTGTGTGTGTGTGTGTGTGTGTGTGTGTGTGTGTGTGTGTGTGTGTGTGTGTGTGTGTGTGTGTGTGTGTGTGTGTGTGTGTGTGTGTGTGTGTGTGTGTGTGTGTGTGTGTGTGTGTGTGTGTGTGTGTGTGTGTGTGTGTGTGTGTGTAGCTCGTTGAGATGTTCCATAATATGTTTCCTGTTAAAGTGTTCTACTGTAGTAAGATCTAAGGAGCTCCTCGTCCCCGTAGTGCAACAGAATGCTTTGGACAACATGATATAATTAAAAGATCTTGTCCATCTTTAAATTAACAAGTTCTCTTTCCTTCGCTGAAGTATTCATACCTCCATAATCTATTACTGTTTATCTCACTTTCCATCAACCACCAGTGTGAGTCTCTGACGTTAATGAAAGACAATGTTTGTCTATAAAAAAACCCCAGTATTATCACCTGGTTTCAAAGATTTGGAAATCAATTCTTGCTTCTACTTTAAAGTGAAGTGGTCTTTCTGCTCTCAGCCTCTGTTACTTATCTGTAAGTCATTGTTCACTTATATCCTGTAAGTGTGATTTATGAAGGCAATATATATTTTGTACAATTTCTCTCAGAAAAATATCTTTCACGCATCTTACTGAATTTATATAAATAACAACAACTAACAGACGACTAAATAGCAAATTGTCACATTCAGAGCAGTTGTTATACACGTTAGGTCAAGTCACCCAAGGCTTGTTCTGTCAAAGGTCAAGTAGACAATACCACCAGCACGGCGGCGTATCTCTGGTTACAGTTATGACAGCTATCTGGGGTCAACCAGGAGGAGCAATATGATCATAAACCAGTTAAGTTTGACTACTTATTACGCCCTTGACGCTCCTGGCCTGAAGAGTGTTATCTTGTGGTGGCGATAACCGGCCTCTGGATTGTTAAACTGGGTCTGGTGCCATCTTCGTCACCAGCGGCTGACCTGACGAGGCTGTTGGCAGGTGGTGAGCAGGGAGTGAGTGTGGGAGGGAGTGGGGTGGGGGGTGGGGGGGCCAGGGGTCCAGGTGTGAGGGGTGAGACGTACCCACCTCGGGGGTGTGTGGGAAAAACATGTGTTGTCGGGTGTTGTAAGATAGTGGCCCAGTCTGTGTGGAGCCGCGCTGAGAACTTCGATATCTTGGCCATCGACCTGCAGTGTGGCAACCGAACTGTAATATGGCCACCGACACGTAAGCTGGCCACCAATCAGCATTTGTGGCCACAGTACAAAGTGCGATCACTAGATAGCATTGTAGTTAACCGTTAGCAGCGTGGCCACCATCCTGTAGTACACTGAGCCAGCAATGTGATGACCTAATAGCAGTATGGCCAATGTTCCGCCAAAATCAAACTTAAAATTGGTGTGGCCCTCACTAAGAGTGTGGCCATATATCGTGGTGGTAGCGCTAACCTAAGTCACATGTCAGATACTTGTACAAGGAGGGTTTTTTTCTTGACTTGTCGATATCAGTGATTATCTTGTGAAAATCCAACGTTCGTCACAACGCCTTCAAGTGGCTGATGATAAATGTAGCCCAGCCTCCCTCGTCCCTCCCTGCCTCGCCTTAGGGTTAACAGCTGTACTGTCGAGTTCTAAATTGAGCTGATGAATTTAAGATCTAGACTTAAGAATTTTGACCTAGATTGAAGAGTTCTGGATTATAATGCAGTGAGTTCTGGCCAAGATAAAAGAATTTTGGTAATCAGATTAATAAGTTGGAATCCATATTGTGGAGTTTGGTCTAGATTATTGAGTTTTGTCCTAAATTGTATAGAGTTGGTCTAGATACGAAGCTTTTTCATAAAATGTTGAGTTTGGTTTCATTGATTCGTCTCAATTCATGATGCTCGTTTTTTCGAATGGAGTCACTCTGAGGAGGTTGGTGGGCTGTTCAGTGACGTTTCTGAATGCTTCACCCCCCCCCCCCACCTACCCTGACCGGACTGTGGGGTGAGGAATCATTTCAGATGCATAACAAAGTATTCGCTCTAGATCCTGGTAAAGACGTGATGGGAGAATGTAAACATCTAAATCATTACTACTGGAACGGGAGCTCAGGAGAGGCTAACTAAGACTTAATATTATAATATAAATTTACGGAAAGCGATGATAAAAAAGTTATAAACACTACAATGAGTTTCAAAAACTTAATCGTGGTGCGGTGACCGAGTGGCTACAGCACTCACCACGTGTTCTTGGAGTCACTTGTTCGTATCCAGTGTATCCATATTACACCCTACTAGGAACGGATGCCTAACTTTATAGTTTAAAAGTGAATACGGTCAAATGCACTGATGTCCACTCTGCCTCCCTGTGTACCGAAACACTGATATACAGTGTACTGTATTTTCACAGTGCAGTAAAGTTTTCAAGCCGGTTTTATCTACGAAACTCGTAGGGAAATATCAACCCGATAAAATAAAGTATGAGACTCGATGTCGTACTATGGAAAAGGAACATTTAACTTTCCGCCAAGTATGTGGCGTCAAACTCATTATAAAATACAGGTAACAGGAGAGTCCTTGGCACTGTTGGAGTGCCAGCGACTGTCGGTGTAGCTTAACTTCAGGGGAGATTATCTGATGGAATGCACTTAGTTGTCACACAGCTATGTGTAAGGGAGCCTAAACACGCATGACTGACATTCTATTCACCTTGCCTCTTGTGACAGGTACTCACCTGTCTAGAGATATATTGATAAGTGAAGTACTTCACCTTGTATTATCCCCAGTACTGACGGCTCTCTTGTGAAACGTAGAAAGACAGTTAAGATATTAAAGGTGATGGAATAGTAATCAAAAGTACTAAAACTGTGAGAGGCAACGCTGTTTGTTTTGATTTGTAAAGAAACGGTTATTGACAAAGTCAAATTGATGTCTTTCGGTTTTACTTACCTTTGTCGTCTAATGTTGGCTAAAGTTTGAAATGAAATAATATATGTGTCAATACGTTTCCCAAGAGGGCAAGTGAACAAGTTACACGCACGTTTCGTCACGAAAAGAGACTACGGCCGTCACTGGCCGTTACCATCAACAAACATAAATCATGGTCCATTGACTCCTCCAGGAGCTTTTTCAAAATGGTTCCCGGTCACCCCACAACGTGTTCAGTAGGTTAAGGACACACATAAGTAAGTCTCTCTGTCTGTAGCTCATCTGAGTATAAAAGAATGTGGAAAGAGAAGAGCAGGACGAGGTTTCCGTGTGAGTGGACAGGTGCAGCGTGAGGGGCACCTGTGCTGGCTATAAGGGAGACAGACAGAGCGAGAAAATCGATGAACTTGATATTAGATCATCACAAAAGATCTAGTCCAAAAACTAAGTCAAACACCCGTTCATGTACCACCCACGTGTGGCAAGGTGTCATCAATGTCTTCTGGACTTGAGCCGTGTTGGTGTCACAGGAGGTAGAAATTCAGACTGGCTTATAGGAAATCATGATGGTTGTGGTTACAACATGGGAGGTATGTCCTTCACCACGCAAGTCTCGTGTATTTGGAAGCCGAACCGGTTCTTGTAAAACTACCCCAAGTAGTTCTATGAAAAACTAAGCCAAATCTATTTCTTCCTGTCCACCAGACTTGATCGTTGGAGAAACATACAAGAAATTACTACCGCGAAATTGAAAATATAATAGCAATGTTAAGACATTTCCCAGCGCCATACGTTCAAACACTCCAACACAGAAGAGGTGGGGACAGTGTGTGTGTCCTGTATAAAGTCAACACAAAACACTGTAGATCTCTCCCTCAAACTAAAGGTATTACAAGTAAATTTTACATATAAATAATCTATGCGTGAACTGAACAATTTCATCACTCGTATCATTCTTAAAATGCAAAATAATTACATGTGTTTTGGCAGGAGGCTTGTGACCAAAGCCTACCGTCAACACAACAAGTATTCAAATATCTTGTATATGAATGATTTATAACGCAAAATTATATTCAACAACCAGTGTAACGATCAATGTACACACAATCAAAAAGTATCTTTACGGTGAGGTCAGATGAATTTCAAAATGAACACCGCGACTCCTGTTGTCTTGGTAGGGTTTGTCAAAATCCTTCGTTCGTTGTTTCATATTATCTCTCACACAAAACTGTATAAATACACTTTTGATTGTGTGTATACAGCTCCTCAAGCCATTTCATGTGTATGTTGTACAAGATATAAGACAAAGAAAAGAGGAAGAAAGCAAACGGAGGGACCACTGAGTACCCCAACAGTCCCTACTCCCTCTTCTCGGGACCCAAACATCACACGGCACCTCGGGAGGGAATGGGGAGCCCCGGTGACCAATAGATACCCAAATAACACAACAAACAACGGGACAGGTGGAGGACAGATCCAAACTGTATAAACATTATCCAATTCTATCTGACAATGGTGTTAGCAATAAAAACTAAGATAACAATAATGATAAAGCAATGAATAATAATAATAATAATAATAATAATAATAATAATAATAATAATAATAATAATAATAATAATAATAATAATAATAATATGAAAACAAAAAATAAAACTTGACACTGTTTAGGACTTTTACTTTATGGTTATTGGGTAAAGGCTTATATAATGTGTTATATGCTCGTCAGTTTGGCCTGCTAGCTTAACCAAACCTTAGTTTACGCTTTTAACTTCAACATACCTAAACTTATTGACAAAAAACACTCTGCCTTGATAACACTCCCGTGGTTGTTCGCTCACGATGGACACATATGACTCATCAGTTGCCACCAAAGTTTAATAAACTGTGAACTTGAGGTACTGTAATGCTCTTACCTGGCCCTTAGCATCTCGCGTCTTATTGTTGGTGAGTTTGAGTCTATCAAAGGCTACGGCGGGGGCAGCCATCCACTGTACCCCGGAGGATGGTGAGTCTGGGTGAATGTAAGGGGGCTGATCACTCAGCGGCTCACCCGTCCCAGCCACCATCCAGCGTGAGCTGTGGGGAGCCAAGAGACAACATGTAAGTGAAGGCAGTGGTTCATTATGAACATTGTTAATAATATATTAGATACAATATTTAGTAACTGTGCTGGAAAGAAGTCAAGTGACATAAAATAAACGATAATTACTTTAGAAGATAACAAAATCAGAAGCGATAAATATAAGTAAAGTAAATATATTATTTATCCTAAGTATAACAGACTGTAACAGACGCACGACAAGTTGGGTTAACAATAATAATGAGTCGTGGCCGAGCAGGTAAGGCGAGGCTTTACTTCAACGGACTAACTCAAGCAGACCTCATTATTAACCTGGATTTCCGTCATATCTGAGCCTATATAAATCCGCCCTTAGTAGCTGATGACCACAACATACTGCACAGTCCTATGTTCACCAACTGTGACGTAACCGCCGCCATTGTTGAGTTATATCCTGGTTTAGTGTAGTTAGTGGAATTAATAATAAAATCATACAATTATGATAATACGGTAATAATAATTATTTTATGCTTTCAATAAAAAATATTCAACATAGCTGTACTAACAGGCACCGACTACTGAACCCGGGGGCTATTGCATTAAGCTAGGTTGAGTTGGGTTGGGTTGGGTTGTAACATCCAACTTGGGGTTGTCACCGATGGCCACCACTTTACCAGACGTTGTTGACTAAAATACCAATATTTATTTATTTTTTATCTCATATTTTATATCATGTCCAATGGTGATGATTTCAGGCGTTTAAGTTTATTTGTTACCTATTTTTCGAGGCCTTTTGGGGGCATAGAAGGCGTAATAGGGAAACAAACGAAGGAAACAGAACAGTAGAAGACTGAGGTGAGCGAGGGTGGAATATGGCCGTCCTGGTCACTACAACTGACAGTGTAGCTGAGGTGATATGTGGGTTCTACTACTCATGTAAATGACAAAGCAGGTACTTGGTTTTCTTGCACAATGCACTTAATTAATTTAAAATAACGATAAAATGACAGATTATAAAAGGTAAAAGCACGACACACGTAAACAAGGCTCGTGACTTTCCACTGCAGCTCAGCTTCACTACAAATGACAACAGCAATATTTAATTCCAGTTAGATCGTGAGGGGCTAGATGGGGACTTATTGTTTCCATTGTGCAGGTAGGCAGGTTCGCACACCACCACGGACTAGTGAGCCAAGACGTCTGATGGTGGTGTTGTCTGGTGGTTGAGGCGGCCGGTAACCACAACCACCACAGGTCCCCCACGAGGATAATGACATTTCTCGAAGATAAAGTAGGAATGGAAAGACTAACATAAAAGTGAATCAACCTCCACTTATTACGATTCCGGAGGGTTTGTTTCAACACTATGAACCATTGTGTGATTTACCAAGGACATGTGTAGCGGCGCCAGTGTCCTAGTGTGAAGAAGCTGAACTTCTTGGTGTAGTATGATAATCATGAATTACTCAAATACGTTTTATTTTTTTTAACTTTATCACTCATTGGTATTCTTCCTAATAAGAAGCATCTATGTATATATTATTTATTTTTATTTCTTCGTTTATTTATTACCAAGGGAAATAACGGCTAGGAATCTTTTCCGCCACTCAGCTCCGTCGTTACAAAACTACTGCAGAGTCATTCATAAGTTTACTCTAGTATTGCGACCTGTCACATGGACGCAAACGTCACCATAGTGGGCAAAGGAACTCTTTGAGGCAATTGTACACGTAAGAAATGTTCGTTTTTGTATTTCGGGAGGACCACTGGGTCAAGAGTGTCCTGTACGACTTTACACCCAGCATCTAAAGTAACAAACTGATAAAATAAATGTTGGATTTGTATTTTTTCCTTATAGGTATGAGCTAAGCTGTGGCTAAGCTGGGATAGTTTTAAGCTTACCTGGGATAGACGTATCTGTAGCGGCGGGTGTCGACGGCCACCATGTCCAGGTACACCATGTAGGTCTTCTCCGGGTCGAGGCCTCGAAGCTTCATCTTCACCACCGGGAACATCCGTCTGGGAAAGACGACACTCAGACTATATAGTGGTTATTGCGGTGGTGGTGATGATGGTGGTGATGGCGATGATGAAGTTGGTGGTGATGGTGGTGATCATGGTGATGCTGATGATGATGGCGGTGGTGATGGTGATAATGATGGGGGTGATGAAATTAGTGGTGATGGTAAGTACCGTAGTACACACACACACACAGACATACACACAACACCAATAACATCACACGCGCTTCAAAACTCTATCCCCTTTAATCAGTTTTCTCTAATATTGATGTTTGTCACTTTTTCGTACACAGAGAAGACTTGTGATAATTGGTTGAGGCTTCAAATGAATCCATCAGTCTTACCTGCCGTTCTTGGTGATGATCATCTCTGTGGAGAGGCTGTGGAACTTGGCCCACAGATCATGTTGTAACAGCTGTATGGTGACGCCTCCCCTCCCCTCCTCCACCCCCTCTTGGCCTCCCCATCCCACGCTCACCCCACACGTCGGGGAAAACACCTGTAGGCATCAATAGCGGGGAATATTTATCTCCTGGTATAAAATATGAACACTCAAACTTGATTAAGAATATTTGCTTATTTATTTGTGTTTTTAGAATAATGGTTTAATTATTTTGACCTCCCAGGGTGTAAACTGGTAGGGCCCTGTCTTCATTAACGACAGATATTGATGAACAAAAGAATGATCTGATTGGTTGGGTGTATTAGATCTTGTGATAGAAACAAAACATATTTTAGTAGCGTCTTGTTGCGCCCACCAGTCTCATTGGTTGATATATAAGCAATTGTTCATCCTGGTAATATAGAAAATTTTAAACTACTTTAGTAATGTTGTCCCCCTCAGCGTATCCCACCTACAGGTTAACGGGCCCTACACTACTTGTGAGATAATCTTCAAGTAATTTATAATTATTAAAATTGGGAATTGTCTCGGTGTTGGTCTCGATAACAGTCTTGGACTTTTAGTGGTCTCGACTACTTCACTTATATACATGTCTGTAATTAACTGATGGTCGCTCCGGTAGAGGTCACAGACTGTAAGTAATGACGCTGCCACTACAGAACACTGTTAAAGACGGCGTCACACTGGCATTCTATCGTCAATTTTGTTTTTTCTTCAAATTTCAGATAATCATCAAATGTTTTGTTGTGCACCATCACACATGCGTTCAGAACCAACTCGCCAGTATCCAACTGACGAAGAAAGCGCAGCAATTCTACACCTTGTTTGGTGTATAAAGAGTCCTGGTGATCCCAGAGACAGCGGCGCTGCGTTATCTGGTCCACCAAGAACTCCTCGAAGAAGCGTGTCCAACTGTCCATGCTTGGGAAATTATTTTACCTGTTGGCTCATTCATGTTGTTATTCCCGCGTGGTCAAAATGTAAACAACAAATGACATTGTCTTGCCTTTCTAAAACCACAAATTTAAACACAATAATAAGTAATCTTGGGAAGAAGAGTAATAATTACGTCATAATAATTTTAGCTTTATATTTAATTAGAATTTTTTTCTTTTTTAACTATTTCTAGTATCAATTATAGATCTTGATTTGACTCCGGTAAGTTGTTGAAGTTGACTGAGTTGTCAGTGCAGACGGTCTGTACAGTTTGACAAACAGCCAATGCCAACGATTCGTGGAAACAGTTGATAATAATTAAAAAGTTGACAGTAGAAATGCTAATGTGACGCCGCCTTAATAATAACTTGTGTTGCGTGAGAGTAAGTATTAAGAGCTCACACTATGATAAACCAGGTAATGCTGTCATACTACCAAACAAGAACCCTTAAATCAAGGCTGGACCATATAGGCAAATAAATAGGTACAGTCGGAAACATGTAATTTAAGGTTTTTGAAATATGTAGTTAAATTAAACACGATTTTTCATATAGTTACGCGAATGATGGGAAATAAAAGATATAGATGGGGTGTGGTGGAGTCATCGTGGTCTGGCCACAAGCGCTGTAAACGACATGTGGAGTCACTGGGTGGTTTGGAAGTGTTTATTTCCATTCATACTTTCGTAACTACAACCTATGGTAATTTTTCTTCGTGTTCATATATAATGAAGATAATGCAGAGTATAAAATGCCATATACAATATTTATACATAATGTCATCTCTACAGCAGTACTATCACTGTGTGTGTTCGTGCGTGTGTTGCCTCGTGATCGTTAGAGTGGGCCCCCGTCCAGAAAGGACACTGTACTAACCTCCAGCACCCACCCAGGTGGGCTAGAGAATATGGTTTCCGAGTGTACATGGATGATCCTTTTATGTCCACAACGTGCCAAAAGTGAAACTCAAGAAGTGAGTGACTCTACTATACAGTATATTCAGCCAGTAAGCTGACGAGGGATGGAGAGGGTAAGCGTTTAGGAAATAACAAAAGCTCAGGCACCAGGTCGACCACTTGTGGCGGAGTAGGTGTTACTGGCCCCTGTTCTGTATAAAGCAGTAATTAAACTTATGAATCTGTCATCCTTACTAACCTGCCACTCCGCAGCTCCTGTAGGCGAAGCTGAAGGGAAAGTTTCCTCCCTGAACTGATGTTGAGTTGACAGCCCTATTGGAGATCGACACCTGCTGTGACACATAGGGGTGACAGGCGTGTCAGAGGACAAGGCGACACCCGTAGAGCTTTCATCAGGGCTGTGTGGTGGAGGCGCTGGGGAGCAGGACCACATTCAATATTATCAGTGGGTGTGATTTACCGAACATTTTATTATGAATCAATATTTTATTAAGATATTAATGGGTAAAGCACCCGGGTAATATACCTGCTATTATTTGTGTAAAGATTATAAAAATATTTGAATATTCAGAATACAAGAGATCATTAAATCTGTTGTTTTGATGAGTCATTGATTAACCCAGACCACAGACAACAAGATGCAAGAGATGACGTACTGGTGCAGCTCTCCACGTCTACCACCAACTCCTCGTCGTCTGTGTCTCTGTCATCGTCAGTCGACAGTTCCGAAGCTCTTCTCTCTGTATTGCCTTGTGTGCTCTGTACCACCGCTTCCTGATGAGTGAGATTATCATCCTGTGTTGTGTGTGTGTCCAGCGTGGTGTGTTGTGGTGGTGGTGTCGACCCACACTGGCTGTCTCCCTTAACCGACTGCTCGCTCTCCTCTAATGACATCTCTCCACGAGTGTCGTTTGACTGAACCATAGCGCTGGAGTCGAGGGTGACGAGGTCATGCGTGGCTTGTTTGTGAGTGTCAGGGTCGTGGGCGGTGGGTTTGTGAGTGTCAGGGTCGTGGGCGGTGGGTTTGTGAGTCTCAGGGTCGTGGGCGGTGGGTTTGTGAGTGTCAGGTTCGTGGGCGGTGGGTTTGTGTGTATCAGGGTCGTGGTCGGTGGGTTTGTGAGTAGCAGGGTCAAGGGTGATGGGTTCGTTGGTGGCAGGCTCGTGGGTGGTGGGGTCGTTGTCAGCGGGGTCGTGGATAGAATTCTCCTCTACGGTGAGTGGGTGGTGTGGGCCCTCCTCATTGTGTTCCTGGCCCCCGATGAGCAGCGCCTCCACGCTGAAGGCGGCAGCTCGGGAACTTAACATCCGACTCTGTGGGGTGAAGAGCCATTACTTAGTACATTGTACTGAAGTAAACATTATTGTGCATGTAAGGGTGTTCCTGGAGCTGGTCGTCATGGGTCACCCTGAAGCCTCTGGACTGCGGCATCCAGGTTGCTAGCTCGCCATTACCTGGGTTTAAGGTGTTGAGCAACAGGAGGAATTCTCGCTCTGGGAGGTACCCACCCCCCTAGCACTGATATATAATTGGTACTAAATATTAATGTCATTCAATAAATAAATCAATACGACCAACTTCCTTTCCACTACATGTCACTTTATATTTAAAATATCTGGCGATTCAAGAACCACATCTGGATCTTCGTGTCTTCACTTTCTGAGCAGAAATGATGCAGCATGCAGAGCCTTGTGGGTGATGCCTATTTCGCGTGCGTCTAGATGACCTTCTTGATAGCCATATGTTGCGGGGACTGGGTGGGAGGCGCGTGAGAAAACACAGTAGAGGACAAGTTTAATTATATTAACTAATATTGTCAGTGAATCATTAATATAAGTCAATATTAAAGTAAAACCCGCAAATTACAAAAAAAAAATACACAAATGGTCGTATCAAAGTTCTTCGTGTAGGAAGCCTGGTGAACCACACCGCGTGTGGGGTCCGCTGTATTGACTTATATTAATGATTCACTGACAATATTAGTTAATATAATTAAACTCTTTAATATAATTGAATATCTAATTTTTAAATGCGGCAACGTGCATTACCACGCTTCCAATTTGAGCCTTAAGAATCATGCAGTGTGGTACTGCCGACGGTCGTGGGGATCTTGCTTACCTATGATGTACTGTAAGGTAAGTGTTAAAAAGTACACCGCCCTCACCCCCACCATTTCATCTCCAGGTGCCGAGCGAAGCGAGGAGCGTGAAGGGGGAGGGGGTTAATCTCCTTTGTGTTTTACTTGTCCAGGCAGTAACTCGGGAGCTTTTTGGCGAGGAAGCTCAAATTTGCATATAACAATGAACAAGTGTTTTTTTTTATCCAACTTGTACAGTACACCGCTCTCCTCCTTTCCCTATTCGGTCTCCAGGTGTCTTGTTAGGTGATGGACGGTGTACGTTGAACGCACCTGACGTATACAGTCCTCAATTTTTTTTTTTATCTGAAGTTGATAACAAGTCTATTAACATATGAATGATTAAACATCTTCTATAACTCGTTATGAAATTTTCGGCTTCAGTATTAAATATACTTTAGGTTATTCGTGGGGTCATGGTAAGTGCACATACCCAATTTCAATCTGGTGGCCCACTGATATGAATGAGGGCCGCTTACTGATTTAGAGAGCAGTTAAGGCCTGGAAAAGATCCTACGAGTGTTTATATCACCTCTTCATTCCCAGAACGGTCAGGGTTGGGTCAAGTTCACAGGGGAAGGTGTGTGAGTTGTATCAGATAGCCCATGAAGGACCTGTCACCAATCATAATGTGTCTACGATCAGTGTTGGAGGAAAGTGTTACAATTACCTGGAGGGAAAGACAATAACTTTAGGAGAGCCAAACAAGAGGATCGAAAATACAAAAAATTGAGTCGACATTTATTTATTGGACAGCTTGAACCAGACCAGATGGTGTTTTGAACCAGACCAGATGGTGTTTTGGACCAGACCAGATGGTGTTTTGAACCAGACCAGATGGTGTTTTGGACCAGATCAGGTGGTGTTTTGGACCAGACCAGATGGTGTTTTGAACCAGACCAGATGGTGTTTTGGACCAGATCAGGTGGTGTTTTGAACCAGACCAGATGGTGTTTTGGACCAGACCAGGTGGTGTTCTGGTGACTATATTTGGGAAGGTTAAATTACGTGGAGAGTGTTTCTGGTTCCTCTTGGCAGTGTTGAGAGGCAGTAGTGGCCACTAAAGGTTCAAAGGAGTAGTATTAAGATGAGACTTTTTTTTTTACCTTTATCAAACTATTAGGAGTCACGTTTATTGTCCCTGATATGTACTGTAGTGTGGTGCGTGGGTGTTTGTTTTCTTATGTTCTTTTGTTCTCAGTGTCGTCTGCACAGAGGAGGTGGTAAACAAACTGGTGAAAGAAGCTGTTGTACATTTTATTTAATTTTGCTATTTTTTGGGGGTTTGTATTATAACTAGTTAGACTATTGGTGTTAACAGGTAGTAGGTAGTAGGCAGCTACCAAACAGGGAAGTATTACCGCATGGGAAGATATTGGCAGCATAATGTGTTGTCTAATGGTAGACCCTGCTGCCATATGGCATCACAAAAATTGTGACCAAGTCCCATGTTGCTGATCTGACTTTCTGCCTCAGCTACACACGATTACAGGGTCTCAATTGTTTCTCTTACTTTGACAACACAACATACAAATATTGTTTCACACTATTGATTTCTTTATTATTATTATTAATAATATTATTATCATTATTATTATTATTAATACTATTATCATCATTATTTCATTACTTTTATTTATTTATTTATTTATTTATTTTTATTATTATTATTATTATTATTATTATTATTATTATTATTATTATTATTATTATTATTATTATTATTATTATTATTATTATTATTATTATTATTATTATTATTATTATTATTATTATTATTATTATTATTATTATTATTATTATTATTATTATTATTATTATTATTATTATTATTATTATTATTATTATTATTATTATTATTATTATTATTATTATTATTATTATTATTATTATTATTATTATTATTATTACATTTTCGCCCCCCAGGCCCCGATGTGGGTCAGTGACCCGTGCCCGGTTGGGCTAATCCCAGTACAAAACAAAAAATCACATACATACATACATACATACATACATACATACATACATACATACATACATAAAACTGAATTTCTCTAAGATAATGAAGGATGTCTTAAATTGAAATACTAAATTTTATCACCTGAACATTATTTCCGTGTCATTGTAATAATATAAAGAAAAACTTCCCGTAACTTGTAGACTTAATTCATGTTTCAAGGCTTAATATGATAATCCTAACAGCCCTTAACATAATTATACTGTGTACTTTTATTTGTGATATTTTATCAGAGTAGCAGAACCAGACAACACATGCGAGTATGACACATACAGCACATCCCTATTACTGGATAGCCTGAGAGCTTGAAGGAAAACTGTTTTTGACGTATACAATAACATTCTTCCTTGTATATATCATAGCTCATGGTAAACGAGAAGGTAGATCAAACAGAAATGATTTGTGTCAAACAGTTTTCCAATAATGTTGAACTACATTAAAATAAAAACTCATCGTAAATATAATATTACATAATGGCATTTGAAAAACTTCTGACTGCATTTTTCAACAATATATTTTATTGATGTGATGATATGGTGTCAATGTATCATAAATAATTACATAAACTGTCAAACAGAAAGACACCTGACTCAAATTATCAACTTCTCCAACTTATTATTTTGGTAATCGAGAGACTGTGGAGTTGTACCTCAAGTGAGAGATTTATTGTACAGGATGGAAGCTCGTCCGCCAGAGCTACTGGCCGTGTTTATACTATATTACGCGCGGCTAAACCAACATTAACTCTCTGGCTCACACTACCACGGAGATCCGGCTCATTTAATAAAATATTCATCGCTGTGTTTATCATCTCTCAGGTGACACTTGTTGAGTCACTTGATACGCTCTTATAACTTTTCATATGGATAAAGCATCATTCTTTTTTAGATGACAACTTGTGGTGAAAATTTTATGAATAAAATTTTCCAGGATATTATCGTAGATGGTTCTCGGCATCTACAGTAACAGTAACCATCTGAGTCTGAGCTGGTATTCCAGAAACAATATATGCGACCTTAATCTGCAGCCTGGCGCCCACACAGCTCTACCACATCACATTTGTGACGCTAGCAACTCCTAATAAAGTCTAGGGATCTTGCTACCCAGACTTAAGTACCACCACTCTAATAGAGGGCACAGTACAGTATCGTAGTGGCTTTTGATGCTTTGTGACGTATTTTTGAGCTCAGTGTTACACTTTTCAGAAATATTGAGTATGTGTGCGTGAGAGAGCACAGCGGCCATTCTCTGTTGGCCAGGTTTTGGTTGTCTCTGGATGACCCATATGGTGTGGGCGTTTAGTGCCCAGAATGGGGGAGGATGAGACATACAATTTCCTTGCCTCCTCACCCACCTCTTGAGAGTTATTGTTGTTGCCTCTGTTTTGTCAAGATTTACAATACTGAAGTTTTATTACATTATGTTCATCATCCACACACCTTACCTGGGATGACGTAAGACCATCACCGTGTACCAGTAATTTAAATCATTCATTACCATGTCGTAACTTCATGTGCAGCAACAGGTTGTAAAGCTTCGCAAAATACACACGTATCTATTCAAAAGGTCATCCCGCCTAATACTATCACGTGTGCCTCGAGATCTCGCTCACTGTCCGATCTTTGCCACCAGGAGACCCCGGGCTCACCTGCAGTGTCGTGCAGCTGCTGTGGTGATATATGAGGAAGGAACGAGGAAACAAATGCGGCGGTGTCGGAAGTCCTCCCCAGGCGCTAGCAAGCTTAACACTAAGTCTGCTAATCACCTCACGGCTCCCAGGAGGCAGCTCACCTGATAACGCTTGTCACCACCCTCCAACCCTTTATGGTCTTATCTGGCCAGACTTCTTCACCGGTTGGTGATGGGAGCGCTTCTAGTGGACAGCTGCTGCTACTTATCTGTCAGCATCTGGATTGGTGTTTATTGTTTTAGAGGTCTTGATAAGGTGATCGAGTGTGTGAGTGGTATGAGAAAGTAGAGATGCTTATGTTACTACCTTTAGAGATGACACAAGTAGACTCCAATATTATTATTACCATCATCCTCAGCAGCAGCAGCGAAGGTGAGGCTATTGGGGGAGGCTGGAGGCCACGCCAAAATGAGGGGAAAAAAAATTAAAAAGTAGCAGCAGCAACAGCAATTATATCTTTATTGCTGGTGTAGGAACATTAACGTTGGAACACGTGATGATGCCTTGCCAGGGTGCTCTCCAGCCTCACTTGCCACTCTTCGGGGCTCTAGACAACCTCATCCCACGGCCGGATAAGGCAGGTAAGGTGGTGGTCAAACAAACCTCCGAGTTATTAGGCCCCAATACTAATAAGTCTCCAACCTAATCTGTTTGCATCATCACGATTAGGGTCCATTAATATTTATTCTTGATGAAAAGTTATACTACTGTCAAATTTCCTTTTGATGGGTCGGTGGGTGAGGTGGAGGGATCTTGACTTACGGGTGCACCTAATGTGGGAGCAAGGGTGGGGCCGGACAACCCCTGGGACAATTGGGGTCACTGGCTGGTGAGTATCTGTGGTATGTACGGCTTGAGGCCAAAAAGGGTGAGGCAGGAGCTGCTTCGGTTGGTGGAGGAGCATCTTTCCTGGTTTGGCCTCCACCACCTACTGGGCAACGGGGCCAGGACGCGTTTCTTGATCGCTGTACTTTTGTGGCACTGTGGTGCACCACAGGTGTGTTTGGTGGTAGGGAGTGCGTCAGCTGAGTAGATACAGCTCTCGCCTCCTGTCCTTAGGTTCGTTTCCTGTCCAACCAGCCATAAATTAATGCCTAACTATGCAAGTTGGGGAAATGAAAGTGCAGTGCAGTGCTGATCATGCTGCCTCCTTGTGCACCGAAGGCTTAGTATACATTATGTTATATCCACTCTGTCCCTAAAGGATGTCATGCCTATGGGATACACTCTTCTTTTTCCATTAGGACCGAGACCCAATTGTAATGACTAATTTGGGTGAGGTCTGTTAGGAGTGTGCACAAATAAGATTGGGATTCATTCAGCCGATCGGTGATCAGATAATTATATGACATGAGTCTTGGAATTGAGTTACTGTGTTGCTGTTGCTGATACTCCAGACCATTATAACGAAGAATGAAAGAATTTTTTAGTTCAGAAATTATTATGTATGACAGTCATCTTTGGAATTAGATCAACAGTAATTTACTATAGTGAAGGCTAACATGGATCGCCATAGCTGGACGTTTACCCACACAGAGTAATCCTAAAGGGAAATTAGTAATGGTTCCAAAAGATTCGTCGGAGGAAGTTTTTTTTTTAACAATTATTGTCTCTCTTATCTAGGTAGAGTTTAGGCGGAGTCTCCGTAGTTGCTGGTGAAGGAATTATAAAACACAAATGGAAGATTTGAGTTGCTCGGCCGAATAAAACAGAAATTTGCGTGAGACTGATTCCAGCACACACTACAGTATGTTACGAGAGTTGTTGTCTACCGGCTTAAGTACGCTCCACCGTGTAAACAACTGTGTTAGACAAGCGAACAAATACTGTTTTCTTAGACAGCCAGAAGATACGTGATTATATAAGACTTTATGAACTTTGTAACACACCTTGACTATAGACGAAGAAGAATTGACAACCCAAGAAGAGTTTTTCTCGAACGTTATTATTTATTTTCGTAGTAAAGGCAACAAAATAATATGTTTAAACAAAGTCTTCCATAAGTATTATACAAGCATTAATTACAGTAAAATATCTAAATCAATAATTGTTTAGTTGAAATCTCTAATACCCGGAGCAGTGGCTGCAGAGCAATAAGTTAAAGCAGTGCTTAATTTTTGCGGAACGGCGTTCCGGCATTTTTATGTTACATGAGTAAATTTCGGTCAGCATCTGTCTCTGGCTCACTAGAGTTCCACCACTTCTTATTGTACAAATTAAACACAGTCAGAGCCGTGTTTTATTTCTTTAACGTTTCAGTACAACCCCTCTGAAGAAGGTTGTATCAAAATGTTAAAAGTAAAACTCGGCTTCATTATCACGATGGATGCTCACTCTTTATTAACTATTAATCACAAAAGGAGGATCTAAAGTAATACTACATAGAGATAATTTGTAAGTGTTTATTGGGAGAGGACTGGCGTGAAGCTATGTACACAGTTATCAGGTGGACACAGAGAACAGCCTCCTCCTCCCACATATTGTCTCATTATCTTCACGATAGGCTTATCAAACACCAGCTTCAGTAAGGTCTACGGAATCAGTTGGGTGCGAAACTTCACACTAGTCTTAACAATATACCATTACATCTGAACGTGAGGAAAGATGATGTAGATGAGATTAAAGGCTCTTTCCTACATCTACCTCCTTAAATTTACACTCATAATAATCACCGAAATTTCGTACACAAATACAACTTAGCAGGAATTTATAAATAATTGCAAAACGCTGGACCAAAAGGCCAAGACTATAGTGTAAAATGATAAAGAAACACAAGATCCTTAAAAGCCTTAAGTTATACTGGAAGATTGACAGACTGGTAAACAACCTGTCAGTTACATATTAGAATACGAGACAGTTTTGACGATGTGTGATCGCTAGACGGCGCTACCAGATAAGATGAACTTAGCTGGTGATAAGGTGCACATGTTCTTATCGTGAAAGATAGCGTAAGAGGGTGTTTAGAAGAGCAAGAATAAATTTTGTGGTGGAGACAGTTAACGATTAGTAGACTATCTCCATCAACCCCTTCACTACGGGGACGCCACTTGTGATAGCTTACTTGCCTGAGGCTCTGATATTTAATTTGGCTAACGCAAGACGAATTAATTCAGGCCAGAGGCGACGCCGACCACAAGGGGTTAAAAGTAAATAAGGAATTACATGTGAGGAAAAAAATAAGGTAAAAGATCTTGCGTAAAGGAAAAATTAAAGAGAAATATGAAAATGATGAGCATTTTCCAAAAACGTAAATATTGTAGAAAACGATACTTCAATAATTAGAAAATAAAAGGAAAACTGAGCTGAAGAATAATAAGTTATAGAAATGCACTAGAAAAGTGGAATGACACATGAACTTGAAATAAAAATAAAGTATTGAGAAAAGTAAATAACATTAATGGAGACAATTATTGATAACAGTGGGAGAAGAGAAAGAAGTTAAGAGATCTACTGAGAGGACGAGGGATAGAAGAATATAGAGAACTAAAATATAAAATTAAGCGAAAAACAGACAAACACATGGTGGAAAAAGTGGAGAAACAGGGTAATGGAATGAGGGAAGAATCAGTTCACCCTTGCTGATGCCCACATTACATAAGGCGGAGATGTCAATAGTGAGAGAGAACAACAGGGAAAGGTTCAGCTACTGAGGCTTCAATGATAAACAGTCGGACAGGGCGCTGAAGAAAAACACGCAAAAAAATAATAAAGACTTTTAGAAAATGAAATAATCCGATAGAGTACAAAAAAAATAATAAAGAAAATGAAATCAAACGGTGTACAGAATGTGGAGAAACCAATAACCTTATTATGGAATGTTGTTGTGTGAGGTACTCGGCGCAGGAGTCATGACAACTGTTGCTCGGTGAAAATTCCTATAGAAGGGAGACTGACATCACAGAAGGCTAAAAACATAGCCACATAGTCTTAATACTGTAGTGTATACAAGAGTTGCTGGAGAGGAACATCTCAGATACGTGTAGGTACCATGACTAACACACACATAGACCCATATATTTCACGGGCTCACTATTGCCGTTGTGAACTAGATAGTTATATAAAGTAGTACACTTTGGACCAGAAGTGAGTGAGAGAGGAACCTGGAGACAGCCGGGCTATTATCACACTAACACAAACATCCGGCAACACCAGATGTGAAAGTAAAAAAAAAAAACATACGATAACCAATAAATACATTTGTATTTAAGGAAATACATTAACAAAACGAGTCATCCTCAATACATCTACAACATTTCTTTACAGGATTAAAGAAGATTGAGATGAAAACAATTTAAAAAAAATAGGTAACCACACATTTTTTTTCTTAGTTTTGTTAAATTTATAAAAGGCATATAAATGTCATCACTGTAAGGTGCTGACCAGAGGTTACATATAAATTATAACTCAACCTGTTTGATGTCTAGTGAGGGTGTACAGTACATCTTCAAAGAGATGTTTCGAGGAAGAGCGACCAGTCGGAATGGTTCATGAGGACACAAGATTATCTGGGAGAGACCATGACTTTTTTTTCTAAATTCCACCTTGTCAACGTCAACTCATCTACACCTTGGACCAGCCGCACTCATTGACAGTCTTTTCCTCTGGATATTTTTCCTGTCATATATCCTCCATCCATTCCAACCTACCTGGTTCAATTTTCCTTGCTAAGGTGACGCCTTTGTAAATGTGTTTGATTACGACATTTGCCTGACCAGGCTCTCTCTCTTCCCTCCATGCTATTTATTTGCTCTATTACATAATAGTTAATGCAGTAAATTCTGAATTAAGCAATATATAGCCAGTCTGATGTTCGTCTTTGAAGATATATTTGCCGCTAATAACAAGAGAGTTTAAGTCCTCTTTCGCACTGTGTGGTCTACCGAGTGTCTTTTGTTGTAACAAATAAATGGCAAAGGGGAGATCAGGTAAGCGTCATTGTAAGATCTACTCACTGAGTCGTCCCCCTTGCCAAAGACTGAAGATATTTCAAACAGGATGATTTGAAACAAAGGAAACAGCACTCGGCTGTCTAGACTCGGCGAATATTAGATCCCTGCTGGCCGCTCCCTCCCAGGGCAAATTCAATACAGTATTTGCGTCATTGTGAATATTAGAGTATATCTTGTGGAGATTGTGATAGCCATGAAGGATCAACGTCCCTTTGTTGTATAACAATAATGTTTTCATTGACGCGTATATTTTGAGATACAATTACAACCACTGGGGTCCACGACCTCAGGGTGCACTACGTGGGTCATGGTGGTGCTCCTGTGAAGACTTGGACCTGTGTATCATATTACTAAACCACTTAAGTTATAAATAACTTTATATTAACAAGTAAACACAATATTTTGATCTGAAGTTTTCTTAGATATAGTCAATACCTATAGTGGGTGACACACCTGAAATGTATACCTATAGTGGGTGACATCTGAAGTGTATACCTATAGTGGGTGACACCAGAAGTGTATACCTATAGTAGGTGACACCTGAAGTGTATACCTATAGTAGGTGACACCTGAAGTGTATACCTATAGTGGGTGACACACCTGAAGTGGGTGACACCCTATAGTGGGTGACACCTGGTGACACCTGTGTATACCTATAGTGGTGTGACACCTGAAGTGTATACCTATAGTAGGGACACCTGAAGTGTATACCTATAGTGGGTGACACCTGAAGTGTGAGTGGTGGGTGACACACACCTGAAGTGTATACCTATAGTGGGTGACACACCTGAAGTGTATACCTATGGATGACACACCTGAAGTGTATACCTATAGTGGGTGACACCTGAAGTGTATACCTATAGTGGGTGACACCTGAAGTGTATACCTATAATGGGTGACACCTGAAGTGTATACCTATAGTGGATGACACACCTGTATAGTGGTGACACACTGTATACCTATAGTGGGTGAAGTGTATACCTATAGTGGGTGACACACCTGAAGTGTATACCTATAGTGGGTGACACCTGAAGTGTATACCTATAGTGGGTGACACACCTGAAGTGTATACCTATAGTGGGTGACACACCTGAAGTGTATACCTATAGTGGGTGACACCTGAAGTGTATACCTATAGTGGGTGACACACCTGAAGTGTATACCTATAGTGGGTGACACCTGAAGTGTATACCTATATGGGGTGACACCTGAAGTGTATACCTATAAGGGGTGACACAAATACCCACTAAAACGGTAAAATAAATAACAGACGAAAACACAAAACTAATTTATACAGTGTAGTACCGTATGCCTTGCTCTCACAACGCCCACAGAGAAGACCACACTATCCTGCTTCACTTTGGGTTCGGTAATACTTCACATAACGCGGAGGGACGGACATAATTATGATAACCTGAGATAATACTTCAAGAAATATTTGGTGCATTCATAATGTGACATTTCACATCATTGTTGTTGTTTAGTGACGGAACGACCGGCCATAGCCTGAACCAGAAAATGGACCACACAGATGTTGAGGTGACAGAGTGAGTATTATAGCCTGGGGTGTATGAGGGGTGAAGTGAGTTTTTTGATGCAGGATTCTATGATAATAAAGAACAAATTTTGCTCTAATGTGATAGAATGATGAATTGAGAATTATGACAGTAACTCCTGCACATTGGAGTACATATATTCGTGTGTGTGTGTGTGTATATATGTACAGTATATGTATTATATATATACAGTATATATATATATATATATATATATATATATATATATATATATATATATATATATATATATATATATATATATATATATATATATATATATATATATATATATATATATATATATATATATATATATATATATATATATATATATATATATATATATATATATATATGTGTGTGTGTGTGTGTGTGTGTGTGTGCGCGCGGTGGTAGCATCGCTCCATCCTCCTGGATCGACGACCTATCATTGCATTGTCAAAATAAATTCTTCAAGTTAAAAGATTAAATACTAGTATCATAATCTATAAGGGACATCATACATAACCATACATACAAATTCCATTAATAAAGACAAATTTGCATATTTTTTCAAATTTAATATAGAGCACTTTAATATACAGTAAGTATACAATATTAGTGTGTATGGTTGTGCCGGGAACACCCTTCCAGGGGACAACCATTACTTACACATCCTTATCGCCTGATGCCTCGAAAAATCCACTGATGGAACTGTACAGTCCTAGATAAACATGTTATCAAGTGATGTAGAGCATTTTACTCTCACATGATATAAAGGATATCAGTACCAGGAAATGATAGTAATGTTAAGACAATATTATCGCTTGTCAGCTGGGTATCCCTCCAAGAAGCGTAAATGCAAAATCAGCAAGTTTTAGGGTGTCACTTGTGTTGAAGTTATCTCTCTTTAACATAATGCCTCTTAATGTCCACCTTAACTATTGGTCAGGTTTACAGTTGGTTAGGGTTAGTTTTATATTGAGGTTTGAATCGAGTGAGACTGACTGTGAAAAGAGGCGAGCAACAATTATCGCGAGTCACTCACCGCTTTAGTACCGGGAGAGTTGTTTTAGCTACGCACACTCTGGTAATAGTCCAAATTTACAACACCGCCTCTACATCACTACACTTGTAATTATATATATATAGAATACCTACGTACTTATGATTATACAAAACTACATAAGTCTTACACATTAGACAATTCATTACTTGTTCATTTATGCAAAGAATTAGATGGAAGTCGAAATTCTAGTGGATTCAACTACTCGCTATATGGAATGAGCTGGAACTACAGTCTGATCTTAAACTTGGGCTAAACATTTACAAGTTACTCTATGTACAGCTACGGGTGCCCCAGCTGCTAGTTCCATTGGTACTCCAGCAGTTTCTTCTAACAGCTAAATATATGAATCATAAAATTTTTTTGGCTTGTCTTAGAGAAAAGACTTATCTTAAGCATACAGGAAAGAACAACTATTTGCAGGAGTTGCATTATGAATTTCAGTACAGTAATTCTATTTAATTAAAATCTCTTTTTGAGAAGAACATAGTTTTTTGTAACTAATAATCTTAGAGGATGTTGTAGTGTATAGGACATAACATCAAGTTCACACTGGGAACGTGAGGTCAATAGAAGGGTCTGCACCACTATGATCTGCCCTGTAATTTTCACAGTAAGTACTGGGCAAGTTACTGACATCTTATCCAGTATAGCTCTTGCTCGTCACCGCCAAGATGACAAATTAAAGCTGCCGTAGGTTAAGATTCGGTTGAGACCAACCGCGAAACTCTATATTCATTTTCATATCGGGAGTTACACAAAAACTAAAAACAATATAAATGCTTCACTCTGTAGCATTTTCGTCGCAAATTTATAGTTTTCGAATTAATTTGACTTATCGATTTCACTTAAGAAAGTGCATGTTCGCGGGGATACATTGTTTGCTTCTTAATCGGCGGAAGTCTCGATGTCACGTAACACTCTTGTATATGCCCTAACTTTGGAATTTAAATTGTGTAGTGACAACTTACAAAATGGCAGCTTTGTGCGAAGGCTGCTCATTGGCAGACTCACGTACCATTCAATGTGTGTTTGAAAGTGAAGCCTCTGCTGTTGACCTTTCAAGGCTCAGTGTTTTTCTATCTTCTGTAAAGTGTCCTAAGTGTGGTTCAGACTGTCACTATTGTGAAGATAGGCACGCTGGGTTTACACTAAAAGACAGAAAATCCCCAAGACAAAGAGGTCTCCTCATTGTGTCTTTACACTTTCTGTGTTTAAAGGCACTTGGTTGGACAAATTACACAGGTCAGTGTGGAAAAACTTGCTTTTTTGTAATACATTCACCAGAAAACACTTTACTCAGCGCTATGCAGCAGAAGAATTGTTCTGGGATGTGTGAACTTCAGTTGGATAACCAGGAACCCAGGGGGTGCTGGTGTTGTTGCGGAAGCAGACGAAAGTAAGTTTAGAAAATCCAAAAGTAAATTCATCATACCAGTCCAGGACTACAGTGCCGATACTCTCATACTGCTAATTCAGTGTTTTGTAAAAGCGGGTAGTGTTATTCATTCTGGCTTTTGGAGGGCTTACAGTACCCTTTGGTGTAACTAGTTACATCCACCGAGCTGTAAACCATAACCATACGTAAAATATAGAACACCTGTGGAAGGATATCAAAAGTTGGGTGCTTCGTGCTGGAAACAAAGCACAACGTTACCAACAATATTTCGCTTGGTACATGTTTCAAGCTAATCACAAGGATCACAGCACCATACTACACCAGTTCCTTCTGCAGGTGACATCACTTTACCTTACTCCATCTGATAATTAAAGTAAGGTTGGGTTAGGTAAAGTTAGGGTTTAAGTTGGGTAAGGCTAGTTTAGGTCAGATTTCATTGCGCTTGGTTTGGTCAGTTTTTTAGTATTTTTATCCCACAATTTCCCTCTACTTCAAATTCCTGCACACTTTGTGCAATCAAAATTGTCAGTAGTGGGGGGGGGGGGTATCTCTATAACAACTCATTTCCGACAAGTCAGATTCGTATGAAACGCAATGAAAAACACTAGAAAAACTTATTTTTGTTAACAATTTCCGTGGTTGGTCTCTACCAAATCTTTACCCTGCCGTGTACTCTACTTCACTGTTTTCCTCAATTTTTGCTTCTATGGCTGACTCTGAATCGAGGAAATGTTGTCTTGTTTCAGAATTTCACTGGTCGCTCGTCTTCCATTTTACGTTTTCTGTGACTCACCCTCCCTCGTCTCGGCTCTCCACCTGAGCTCCTACTGCTGCAAGGGTATGAAAAGTGAAATTTTTACTGCACACAAGTTTGACATAACTATTACTGAATAGTAAGCTTTAGAGTTTTAAATGTGTTTATAATTAAAACTCAAGTTTATTTGATTTGCACATATGCTCAAAATAAGTCATAAACAAAACATTAATGAATCTACTTACAACATCCAAACGTGTAATGACCATATAATCATTAGCTTATTCATGGCTGGAAAATGAAGCGAAGAAAGCAACTGTAGATTTACTAATCACCAAAGGCGCCGCGAACAGCCATTTATTTTACATTAATAGTCAATAAAATGAACACAGCAAAAGCACATTCATCAAAAATTTCATGACAGAACATAAAAAATTGGCGTGAAAAATTAAGGGTCCATCTTGAAATATAAAAGTAACATGTAGAATGATAGAATCTAGTGTAGAGGCGGTAAAAAAAACATCACAATATTCAGAACTAAACGACAAATAGAATACAATCTTTACAAAAACAAAAAAAATTCTGAAAATATAAAATTATTATTAAAGAATGAAACAGCTTTCACTGACAGCCTCCAGTTGGCAGTGTGGCTAACTGTTCAGAATCAATTAAATAATTAGGTCTTTTCAAGACGAGAGAAAAAACAAACAAATAAAACCAATGACAATGTTAGAAAAACTTTCAAAGAAGTTCACTGCTCACCGGGAAGGTGAAACAAATGTGGAAAGGTGAGAGAAGGGGGGTGTGGACGGTGTTATGCGAACAATAGAGGAAGTGGCGACAGGGAAACGGATATGACGACGAAGAAGAAAACTTAGAGGCTATCACAGAGCAAAATTCCGTATTCCTCGGGAGAAAAACGCCCATACCGCCGTTCTTGGTTAGATTTTTCGCCTGAAAACTGAAATCCGAGGAAAAGGGAATGTATGAGATCTCGGAAATTTTTTACTGCACTTAGGCTTTATAATATTTATAATTGAAAGGCAATGATTTATTAAAACACATTAATAGGAAACACTTTTAAGTGAGTTTAATGCATATATATTATTATTGAAATAGTTTTATATATACAAATTAAATTTACAGACACCATTTCATTCGACTTTGTTTACATCTACGTAGCCAGTAGAGAGTTGTGGGATTTCAGACAACCTTTGTATCTCAAGAGAAGCATAAAACCACGAAGCTTCTGGACGACCCCCAACCTTTGTTATCGTTTTGTTCCGGGTGACGGCAATACCCGAACGGTGCTTCAACTGAGTGTGTGATTGGAAAGATCAGTCTTTTCACCAAGAAAGGAGAAATGAGAACCGATAACGGCAGAAATTTTGCCCAGTATGATACCCTCTAAAGGACATATGCTACAATATAGATGAACACTAGACACATACCTAGATTTCTGACCATCTAATCTACTTGTACATTTGAAAACAATGATGGAAAAAATATATAGATCACCGAGCTTGTTTTTTGTAAACTCATGATGAAAATATAGCCTTCTCGTTCATTTGGGGTATATCTGTCTTATATACATCATATGATGTAAACTGGGCTCAAAGTATGCTATTTTTTACACTATCAAGTCAGTTTATATTGTAAAATTGATGATGTGTGCATGCTGCAAAGAAAACTGCACTGATCTGTGCAAAGTTACAACTATATATAAATTTATAGGCCAAAAAGTAAAATTCTGTCCGCTTTTTACTCGAAACTTTTTTTTTTACAGAAAATACCGAGTTCTGATACGGTATTTTTTTTCTTCAATAGACATTGTCACACAAGTCGCTTTGAAACCTTGTACGAAATACAAAAAAAAAACTGATATGTTACCAGGTTTTTTATGCAACTATATTTTATCCTCACATCCAGTTTTGGTGCGATCTTTACAGTACAGACTGTACTCCAGTTGATTCTTCACACGGGTCTTGACAAATCGACCGCGCCATCGGTAAGCCATTTTGGTGAATAAACTAGCGTTTGATGAACAAATTTATTAACAGGAATGATGTACTTCGATATTTTTCACGCTTCCGGGAGGCAACTTCTCCCGGAAAATGAGCAGAGGTTGTCTCTTGGCAGTGGCGCGGAATTGCACACTGGCAATTACCGAGTTCGGTAATGAGACACAGTACATATGAAATCAACCGAAAATGTGGAAAAGAGGCTTGTAATAATATCCCCTCAGGTTTTAATTCATTGGGTGATAATATCTAAGATTCTTCGTTAAATATTAAGCTGAAGACATAAAAGTTAGTCACTTCCAGCGTTCTTATTATCTCTGTCACTAATAATTTATAACGTGCATTATAATTCATATATAAAGTATTTAATTTTCAGTAATAATGAGCGAACAGTGCTCGTAGAAGCTTCCAGAGTTTAAATATTAAACTGAGCTATAAAATATGTTTTTATTATCCCCAAAGAATTGTATTTCTCATCTTGTGATTCCTTCTGGTGCGAGACCATGTGGTGAAACTGATTCATAGAGTTATAAGAGTGCGCTTGTTTTCTTACCAACTGACGTCTGCCATTCTCTTACCCTGGAGTGATCAAACATTATCATAGTTTATCTTGATATTCCACTTTGTTGCGTGTAAACCGGATCTTGGCATGTGTTTTTAGACATCTACGGTTGAATAAAATGAATCTATATTAAAATATAAGTCTTAATATGCGACAAGAATATGTGCAGATCATATGTTGCATCAATCTTGAAACACGAATTATCACCTTTGCACAAGGTTATAAAGTGACCTTGTAACTCCTAGTAGCTGGTTTGTTATCAAGACGATTTTTTAGAAACATTTACTTGCAATGTCAAACATGCAGCCATGCTGGTGATATACAAGGGTTGTACTTGGTAATTTTGCCCTTCCTCCTTGTTCTCTACAACAGAAGCAGCTGGATACTTAATTGTAACATTCTTGTAACTGTTTACTCTCATGATGCCCAGACGAAAGATGACTGAACAAAGGCACAAAAATAGCTACAACAACAACGATAATTACGGTTGTTAACTAAAGAGTATGAAGTATAAGGCTGTGAAGCAAACCAGCGCACTACAAGAGTGTGTCCCGGTGTCCTTATGATTCTAGAATATTGTATATTAAGAAGTCCAAAGTATCGCTCCCGTTGTTGCCGAAGTAAGGAGGACGATTTAAGTGTTCATAGCGTCAGTTCCATGTAAAATTACATAAAATATAAAAACATAAATACAATGTGCAATTCTCTAAAGATATGACTAGTCAGGAAGGTGCAGTATGAGAGGGATGCATGAAAGAGTAGATGATGAGATGCAACACTCACTTGGGTAGGTGCTCCTTCACCGAGTCAATGGCTCTGCGTAGTGTTGACTTCTCCTTGTTCTCCCTCTCTTTCTTCTTCTGCGCCTTTCTCTGCTTTCGTCGAGCGTCTGTGTGGGGATTCTCAGCCATGACATCGATTTCCTCCTCTTTATCGGACTCCACCCGACGTTCAGGTAACTTCCCATGCTTGCCGATGAGCCAATAGGTCTCCATGGAACCCTTACCCTGCGGTGATACTCTCTGGCTCATCTGGTGGTAGGCGCGAGAGAGGAAGTGCATGACATTACATTTCATCAGTCAACAACATCTACTCATATAGCCTTTACCGTTAAACATTTGCTTTAAACTGTTACCGAATTACTTATGAAACAATGCACGAGTGGCTCTTGTTTCCTCAACTTCATATCCAGTTTGTGAACACTCAGAACTATTTCTAATATTTATAGCAATATTATAGAGTAAATCTGTAGCCGGTAACAGAACTTTGGTGTTTCATTACAGGACGGTTAGTATCCTGTGCAACTAAGATTTTAAGAGAGAGCAGTGTTATGTTCAATCAGAAAGCTATCTTTATGAAAACGACATTTGTATAGATTCCAATCAAGTTTTAAAGGCTCTTAGAAATTGACGCCTGCTTAATCCGTCTTACTGACCATATCAGAACCCAAATAGCTTATGGAATATACACAGGGATGGTAATGTTAGACTTACAAAAAAATCTTCAACACAATGGATCATAATATAACATGCGAAAAACTACAGGCTCTTGGTACTGGATCTGTTGACTGTTATCAGAAAACAAATTGTCATTGTAATTAATATCCAGTCAACACACCTGCTAACAAACTGTGAAGTCCCAAAGAAACATTCTGGTACCATTGCTCTCCCATTGCTATGTAAATGAGCTGCCCAATAGTGATAATGGCATACTTTTGTTGTATGTTTGATTACATTGCCCTTATAGTGTCAGGTAAAGATCTAAGGATACAGTTAACAAATTATCATGTGAACTGGAGTCATGCAGACAATGGCTGGTAGACAGCAAATTTCCCCAACCCCTTGGAAAAAGAGTGAGTGAGTTTAATATATTGTGTGGAAATGGACCCATATGAACTGTACCCTCAGTGAAATACCTAGGGCTAACTCTTGCTTATCTGGAAAATTAATTGAAAAAAATATAGTAAATACAAGTAATACTAGGGTAAATTTAGGTGCAACTGCCCAATTACATAGCTATCAACAGTATAGGTAACATGGTCACTCAGCCAGTTATTAGCCAAGTACCGGTGTCAGAGTAATATTGTACAGCTAACCTTGATCTCCATCTCTCCTCTCAGCTTCATGATGAATCCTCCCACCTTGTCCAGGGCTTCCTTGGTCGAGGCCGTGATGTGGATTTTGAACGCTGTCAACAAATGCCCAAAATTAGATAACGACGACACCACACTGTACTATACTGTCATGACCCCTTTGTTCCTACGACTCAGCCACGTTCATTGAGAATAATACGAAATTAAACTGGAAAGGAGAGTCAAACATATAATTTTATCTCCTCCAAACAACGGCGGTTAGAGAGAGAGAGAGAGAGATAATATTTCTTTTCCTCTATTCAGATTCAAAACTTCCATCTGTCATCTGGTACAACACAAATTCTTGTGTATGAAGAATACCGTTGATGATCTTAAGTGACCTTTATCCAAACGAATTAACAGCAAGTGTTTACTGTGTCTCGGAAGACAATGAGTGTAATATACTGTTGATCACTCACTCCAAATATTGTGTTAGACAATATGACACAAAGGACGAAAGATTTTGACAACACTACCGACACAAGAGTCGCGGTGTTCATTTTGAAATTCATCGGACCTCCGTAAAGATACTTGTTGGAGCGAGTGACACAAACTCCAGACTTTGATGTTTATTTTCTTTTATCCTCTTCGTCACTGATCGGTTTTATCTGTTTATTCAAAAACTATTAAAGATAGTGAATGAAAGTTTAAACAAGGAGGTTAAGGGTAATATTTTTGCTGCAATATACTGTAGACTTGAGTATAAAGTAGAAATAAATTTCCGGTTTCTCTTTGTTTACATACGTTCCAGGACAAGAGTTGACCAACATTTGTCACTTGGGAGGTGTTTCAACAAGTGCAGACTTTTTGAAATACCTCACAAGATCGAAAAAATTCCATCAGTCAGGTCAGAAAACGTTGCTATTGGCTGATTGTAGGCGTTGTAGGCGACAAAGAACAGAGTAGATAAAATCTGGAGCTTTGAGGTAGAGTAGTTCACGCAGTAGTCTTACATGAATGAGAAGGTAAGCATGAAACACACATCAAAGATAATGTTCTCTTATTGTTGAATATTAGGACAAGTATATGGACCATCAAATTTTGTATTAATCAATGAACATTTATATAACATTTATACGCAATACATACGCAATCCTGTTGACTCCATCTTGGAGGCGATGTTGACAGATTCTCCGAAGAGTGTGTAGCGGGGCATCTTGGAGCCTACCACCCCCGCCACCACAGGTCCTGTGTGGATACCAATTCGGATCTGAAGACGCTCGCCGGGCTTGTGAGGGACCACGAAGTTCTCTGTGGCGTGTAGGAGATCTAGAGCCATGGAGGCGATCTCTGCCGCGTGATCCTTACCTGGTGTGAAGGTCAGTCGAGGTCACTGACTGAGTGAGCTCACACCATGTATTACGACAACGTTAAACTTGATATTTTGTAATTGTAAAGTAAAGTTTGAACATTGCGACAAGTAAATTGTGTTAAAGGAGGATGTGTATTACAATGACTTTACTTCCTACTATAGTGTTCAACTCAACTTGCAAGCTCTGCACGATACAAAAAGTACACAAAAGTAACAACTACAATACTGTACTACAATACTTGGCAGTTTTGCGCATAGTACCAACCGACCTAATACTGTACTAACTAGGGTTGTGATGTACGTACATGAATAAATGAAGATGTTGCTGATGACAATGCGTTGCCTGGACCATCACCAACATACAAATTATCTCTACAAACTAGAAAGAACTTCTGAAATGATTGAGCGACGATTAAATTTATAGAGCATTGTCATCGCAAATCAGACCACGTGAAGATGGGTGGAGCAATGAGGCAAACCAAGTGACCGTCGCGTTCGAGTTTGTAACTAAAGTGAGATACAATTCACGTAGGTGAGTCTTCCACTATACTATAGAAGACAAGCTAAAAAGGGAAATAAGCAAAACAAAAACAAAAGAAAATTACAGGCTCGAATGCATGAAGCCCGGAAGGTGTATTCAAGATGCGGAAAAGCAGTGATAATGTATATAAACCTTAAGCTCAGTTTCATCACGAATCGTCTTCTGATTATATATATATAATTTCTCACTAAATAATACAAGACTCGAACGTTCAGGTCACCAAAACTAATCTTAATTTACCTAAACCCGTGTGACTCATAATTTTGTAGACTGGGGAGGTGTATATGAGGCGGTCCAGGTTGGTAGATCCCCTGATGGGGTCTAGAGGGAGAGAGAAGCACCACATTACCGCCGGAGGGTGATGGTGCCGCCACTACCTAGGGCAGGTGACAGCATCAGCTTAGTTTTTAAACTTCTGTCAACTTTATAAACATCATGCCTGCTTGGTCTCCTTTTACATGTTGATATTGGCGGAATCATCTTTGTTTATAGAGTATTTTGCGTACTATTGGGCCTTTAAAATCCATCCATTCAGGCAATAAACGTTTTTTATTATAAAATTACGCTTATTGTGCTATTTATAAATCATTAACAGATTGTGGGACTTGCTGAAGGCGTCGCATTAGCAGCAAAACGTAGCTGACATCTGTATATACTGAACTACATCGCTCAATCATTCCTGTTCTCGTAAGTAACTATCACCATGATGACTATGTTAGTCTCTCAGTGTCGTGCTGAGAGGCCACTCTGAGGGTCAGTCATGCACCCTCGTGTATTACAGCCTCCTTCACCGTCTGGGTAACAGGAAACTCTAGTCTTTGAGATTTTTGTGATGTTTTTATTCGTAAATGGCTTTCCTCTGAAAACGATTCTTAAGCATGGAAGTTTTTGTAATTACAATCATATGGCAATAAATATTATTTTCCAATTATGACAGAGGAGCAGTAATAAGATAGCAACGGTACTCAGCTGAGAAGCGTTTTCATTAGTGTCTTATAGTTGCATTTATTTCTATTTTATAGCAAATATTCTATAAAAATAAATAAGAATCATAATCAGAAATACATGTACTGTATACAGTGAATGAAGCATAAACTAAAATCTACTTCTAGTTCAGCCAGAAACATTCGATAACATGACCATCAGTCCTTGTCAACTTCCACCAGCCACTAGACTCAAGCAGCCACTCTGTGATAACACGCGCCAACTGCACCATACTGAGTGTTAGCACTTGCATAAGATGTGAGGTTTAGGTGTCATGGATAAAACAGGGGAACTCATATCGAGTAGAATAGTCAGTGTGAGGTTTAACTGCGACCTTACCCTCTCCACGCTGGGGCAGACCAGACGCCACCATGTAGGCGTCCCCGATAGTCTCTATCTTATACACCTCGTACAGTTCAATCCTTGAGTCGAACATCTTGTACAAAGCATTCAGTAAAGAGATCACCTGCAGAAATAACAAGAAAAATAAATAGCGATGTCACACATGTATTAAGAAGAGCAGTGTACATCTCTGTCCTTGACAAAGGTAAGGAAAAGCAAGGTACTGTATTGGGGACTGAATTGTGTCTACCCAGGGACTTCACGGAGGTGGCCTACCACAACAAGGTCATTCTTAAGAGGAGGAAGTCTTAGTGCAATAAAACAATATACAGTACTGTTATATCAGACACGAAACCAAAGGAGTGATTCTGCATTAAAATCATTATAAATCCATTTACAGTATTAGCCAGTAGCCAGCCCTAACTCACTGCTCACGTGGGGAAGAACAGGTTATGTCGTGATGAATATTTTCAGTGAACGTTTGAAACTAATGCATTTGATCATCTTTTATCTCGTAAACATAGAACCACGTACACTGGTAATACAAAACAGTATGAAAAGCAGTTTCAAAAGAAGACTGCAATTGACGAGGAACTTAGAAAAGGGTTGTCCAAGGACTCTCAACTAACACCATCTAGTATGTCATCTTCTAAAGTAAACCACTCGGCTCTCAGACCTAAGAAAACATTAAACCCATATCTGCAGCAGCCACAAACCCTCCTGAGGGTAAAGTCATCCTCTAGTTCTTTCTACTGAGAACCTCTCTTTCTGTCTCATGATATAGGAGTCATTAAGGGTCTGTCCTATACTTGAAAATATTTCCGAAACTAAAGCTACTGTCTCTTAAGTGATTGGGTGAGGCTCTCTAGCTGTCCCAACGCCATCCTCAGCGTGATAGAAAGGCCCAGTACTATGGTGAAAATATTCTTCTTTGCTTCCCGAGTCATCCTCCTTTTTCTTGTTCATTTTTTGGGTCACAAACTTAATTCAATTTTATTCCCAGGGAGTAAAAAACACTTCTCTCTCCACTTTACCATCACCCCTCCATCACGACACTGCTCCATCACCCCTCCCTCGTGTCATTGTCCAATCACCCCTCCCCTACGACATTCCTCCCGACACTGCTCCATCACCCCCACGACACTGCTCCATCACCCCTCCCCGACACTGCTCCATCACCCTCCCCACGACACTGCTCCATCACCCATCCCCGACACTGATCACCCCTCCCCGACACTGCTCCATCACCCTCCCCACGACACTGCTCCATCACCCCTCCCCACGACACTACTCCATCACCCCCCCACGACACTGCTCCATCACCCATCCTCACGACATTGCTCCATCACCCTCCTCACGACACTGCTCCATCACCCTCCCACACTGCTCCATCACCCCATCACACCACGACACTGCTCCATCACCCATCCTCCACACTGCTCCATCACCCTCCCCGACACTGCTCCATCACCCATCCTCGACATTGCCCATCACCCTCCCTCGACACTGCTCCATCATCCCTCCCCACGACACTGCTCCATCACCCATCCTCACGACACTGCTCCATCACCCCTCCCCACGACACTGCTCCATCACCCATCCTCACGACACTGCTCCATCACCCTCCCCACGACACTCTCCATCACCCCCCACGACACTGCTCCATCACCCTCCGTGACGACACTGCTCCATCATCCCTCCCCACGACACTGCTCCATCACCCATCCTCACGACACTGCTCCATCACCCATCCCTCACGACACTGCTCCATCACCCTCCCCACGACACTGCTCCATCACCCATCCTCACGACCTCCATCATCCCTCCCCACGACACTGCTCCATCACCCATCCCTCACGACACTGCTCCATCACCCATCCCTCACGACACTGCTCCATCATCCCTCCCCACGACACTGCTCCATCACCCATCCCCCACGACACTGCTCCATCTCCTCACCCTCCCTCACGACACTGCTCCATCACCCTCCCTCACGACACTGCTCCATCACCCATCCCCACGACACTGCTCCATCATCCCTCCCCACGACACTGCTCCATCACCCCTCCCCACGACACTGCTCCATCACCCCTCCCTCGACACTGCTCCATCACCCTGCCCATCACCCATCCTCACGACACTGCTCCACCACCCATCCTCACGACACTGCTCCATCACCCTCCCACGACACTGCTCCATCACCCATCCCTCACGACACTGCTCCATCACCCATCACCACTCTCCACATCCCCACGACATTGCTCCATCACCCCTCCCCCACGACACTGCTCCATCATCCCTCCCCGACACTGCTCCATCACCCATCCCTCACGACACTGCTCCATCACCCATCCTCACGACACTGCTCCATCACCCCTCCCCGACACTGCTCCATCACCCCTCCCCACGACACTGCTCCATCACCTCTCCCCACGACACTGCTCCATCATCCCTCCCCACGACACTGCTCCATCATCCCTCCCCCGACACTGCTCCATCACCCATCCCCACGACACTCCATCACACTCTCCATCACCCTCCTCACGACACTGCTCCATCATCCCTCCCCACGACACTGCTCCATCGCCCTCCCTCACGACACTGCTCCATCATCCCTCCCCACGACACTGCATCACCCATCACCCATCACGACTGCTCCATCACCTCCCTCCATCATCCCCACATCATCCACGACACTGCTCCATCACCCATCCTCACGACACTGCTCCATCACCCCTCCCCGACACTGCTCATCACTCCATCACCCTCCCCTCACCCCTCCCCACGACACTGCTCCATCACCCATCCTCACGACATTACTCCATCCTCCATCACCCCTCCCCCACGACATTGCTCCATCACCCCTCCCCCACGACACTGCTCCATCACCCATCCCTCACGACATTGCTCCATCATCCCTCCCTCACGTCTCTTTACAATATCCTTGTTTGCAAACCTCACTAGAGGAAAGGTCACGGCCGATTTAGCTCCTGGGGATTAACTGACTGTGCAACCATGGCTAGTGTTATTTGTGAGCAGCTCTGCGTCTCTTTGAAGGCTGAGCAAAGAAGGTCAAGTGCGAAAACTTGAGGATAAAGAAAGTGATTGCGAGGATGAAGGAGGAAGGTATGAGATGGGGAGAGTCTGTGTCTGATGACAACACAGGCCAGTGGGGGGTAGTGAGCAGAGGAACAACAAAACTGGTGGTGAAAAAAGATAGCAAGGAAACGACAACAGCTAAGTGTACTGACTTTTTTAGTCCTTTGGTAGACGAACTGGACGGTAACATAAAGAAGGATAAGGAAGGTACGAAAACCTTAATTTTTGGAGATTCTCGGGTGAGAAAGCTAAATCAAGCATTGTGTGCTAAAGACAGAAATAGAATGAAAGTGTGCTTACCAGGAGCTGGGGTAGGTGATATAGTAGACAGGATGGACAATATCATGCCTGATAATGGGAACAAACCCATTATCTGCCTCAGTGCAGGAGGCAATGATATTGGTCGGTGTAGGAGTGAGGAGCTTCTTGATACGTTCAAGACAGCCATAGAACGTATTAGGTTGAATGGAGGGATCTCTATCATATATGGTATCCTGCCTAGAAGGAGAGTTGGCAATGAATGATTGTCAAGGGCAGTTGGTGTCAATGGCTGTCTTGACAGATATTGCAAGTCAACATCAGTTCCATTCATTGACAACTGGGACAGCTTCTACAGGAGAAGAGACCTGTATGCAAGGGATGGGGTGCATTTACTTAGGGACGAGCTGGAAATATTGGACAGCTCTCTTAAAAGGACAATTGAAAAGATACGCAGGTCTTTAAACTGCTAAGCAAACATAAGACTTGGCTAAAGGCCGAGGAGACTCAAGTTGGCAGGGGTAAAGAAAATGAAAGGTTACAGAGAAATCGTGCTAGGAATGAGGATAAAGCTAAATTGGGCAGAGTTAAAACCTAAACACGACAAAGGGAGGACTCAGATTGCGACTAACTTAAATGTCTTCTATACAAACAGTAGAAGTATGAGAAATAAAATGGATGGAATCAAGGTGTTGGTATGTACCGAAAAATTGATATAACAGCATTCACCGAAACATGGATAAACGTAGACTCACTTGAGTTACCTGTTGAATACCAAATTAAAGGTTACAAATTATTCCATATCGATAGGCAGATTAGGATAGGAGGGGGGGTAGCAATTTATGTCAGGGCTAAGTTGAAGTGTGAAAATAATGAAATGAAAATTGGACTGAATACAGAAACAATTTGGATGCAATTAACCAATGGAAGGGAAAATTAACCATAAGATAAAAATACAGACTTCCTATTCTCGATAGGGGTAAAGAGCAACTTATTTGGGATGAAATATGCAGGGCATCCAGACATAACAAAGTCTGTATAGTGGGCGACTTTAAGTTTAGTCAAATAGATTAGATCTTACGGGTAACTCAGAATCAGAGGATTTTCTTGAAACAGTTCAGGACTGTTTCCTAAGTCAACATATAGCCAAACCCACCCGGGGAAATAGAATACTAGATTTAGTTCTGTAAAACAGAGAAAACCTCATTAGTAATGTCGAGGTAGGGAATGAACTAGCTGACAGTGATCACAAAAAAGTGAGATTGAAAGTAGAACTTAAAGTCAGTCACAAGGAAAATTCCACTAAAGTCCCAGATTTCAAAAAAGGCAAAATTTGAAAGGTTGTAAAAGCAGCTGAGAGAAGAGGTATTACGTTTGGGGGTGAACTACATGACCTCACGGGAGGTGGCAAATAACGTGACCTCACATAATGTACCCACATAGGGTGACCTCACTTTACCAGGCGCTCTAAATACGATAACCTCACAAAATATGACTGCTGAGGATGACCTGACCACGAGATCTGAGGTTGACGAGTTCCATTACAATTTAAATAATGAATTACTTAATGCACAAAACTCAGATTAAATAACAATGACCCTAAATGGATAAATACTTTTTTAAAGGATATTATTGGACAAAGGAAGGCTATAGGTAGGAGAACAAATCGTGGTGAAGTTTACCTCCGAGATTATTATAAGGTATTGGCCGGTAGGGTTAAGAAAAGCAAAGAGGAATAATCAACTGAAGGTAGCAAGGGAGGCGAAGTCAAACCTTAAGGGATTCTTCCAAATGTATCAAACAAAAACACGAGACAAGATTGGACCAGTACATTCAGATACCGGCGAGCTTATGGATAACGACGGAGAAATGAGCAATAATCTGAACAGATATTTTTCATCAGTTTTCGCGACCGAAAATTTAAACACGATACCTGAGGCACCGACTATCTACAGAGATAATGAAGAAAATAGATTAAGCTAGATATTAATAAATAATAACGATGTTAGTAAACAAACAGATAAACTAAAGCCTAATAAGTCACCAGGTCCCAACGAGATATTTTCCAGAGTATTAAAGGAGGTAAGGAAGAACTTAGTCCTTGAGGATGATAGCTAATGTGCTACCGATTGTAGGCAAATTATATTGGAAACAATAATTTCAAACTCAATTCGAAATCATCTCGAGAATCACAAATTGATCAATGATTCCCAACATGGCTTCACAAGTGAGCGTTCATGTCTGACAAATTTATTAGCATTCTTTTCAACTGTTTTCGAGTCAGTGGATGATGGGCACAATTATGATGTCGTTTATATCGACTTTAGCAAAGCCTTCGACAGACTAATACGTAAAGTGGAGACAAATGGAAATGGGGATGTTCTAAACTGGATTAGGGTGTGATTACAGGACAGGAAACGGAGAGTCGGTATTAATGGCACTAAATCCAATTGGGGTGACGTCTCTAGTGGTGTACCCCAAGGCTCAGTACTTGGACCATTACTATTTATCATATACATAAACGACATAGACATAGACAGCAACATCAGTAAAATTGCTGGTGACACTAAAATAGGGCGTGCAATAAATCTGACGAGGAATGGGCAAAACTACAGGATAATCTAAAAAAAAATTTCGCATGGTATAAAAAAGGGCACATGAAATTTAATGTGGACAAATATAAATTACTTAGTCTAGGAGATGTAAACAGAGAAACTAGATATCAGATGAACAACGATTATATAGATAAAATCCGACAGTGAGAAAAATTTAGGGCTAATGATAAGTAGGAATATTAAACCAAGGCAACAATGTGTATTTGCTCGAAACAAGGCGAACAAAGTACTTAGGTTCATACAAAGGAGTGTTAGTTACAAGACTAGCGAGGCTATCCTAAAACTATAGCTTGCGCTTGTGAAACCTCACTTGGATTATACAGTTTAGTTTTGGTTACCTTACTACAGAATGGATACCGAATCCCTAGAAAGCATACAGAGGAGTATGACAAGACTAATCCCTGGCATTAGGAACCTTGAGATTAGCTTCAAACATAGGTTGGACGGATATATGAGCGATAGGGGTTGGGTGTAAAAGGGACTGCCCAGTATGAGCCAATAGGCCCGTTTCTGTTTCCTCCATTCTTATATATAATGTTTTGTTCTTATGACTTCCTTTGCCTCTTATTCATCCTGATCACTTTTTTCTTCCTCTCATCATCCCTCACATTATTAATGGAGTTCCTTGGCTGTTTCTCTTAACATATTACCATTATCTGTATTATCGGTTGGTCGTGTCATTATTCCTGTTCATCATTTTCATAACGAGCAAAATTGTATCGAGTAATGACATTTATCCTGTTTGTTTATTTATCTGTAAATTTACTTTTCCAATCAGTCTTAATTTTCTACTATTTTAAATCTTAAGATATTATATAATAACAAATTGTACAAGATCTACTTTATATATAAATACAGGTGTTCTATAGAGGTCGCGAGCTCTTGTGCCAGTAATATCTACAGTATACTAATACCATGTGTGATGAACGACAGCCACCTGCATGGGGGTGCTCTCTGAGGCCAGCTCGGTGAAGCCCACAATGTCGGAGAAGTAGATGGTGACGGACTCGTAGGTCTCGGCAGACACCTGCTTCCTCTGCTTCAGCTGTTGGGCCACTGTGGGCGGCAACATTTGGTACAACAGCTTGTCAGAACGCTTCTTTTCGTACCGCAGCTCATATGTCTTGTACTGCAGAGTCTCAGTAAATGCCTGAAACATTATCATATGTTTAAACTTTGTTTTACGCACACACATACACACACGCATATGTACTGTATACACGAAAACAAATGTAATACTACATATATCCTACAGTACAGGTGCAGGTGACGCCACTGATGGCAGTGATGACAGTATTTGCTCAAGTCGATCATGTGATATACTGTACAGTAGCTACAAAGGCTCTTAGTCCACTGGGTCCCACGACCTGCTGACCTTATTTTATCCATAACAAAGGTTATGAATATCGGAATTGGCACAGTGTAATAAAACTTGTTACCTGGGGTAGCGTTCAAAGAAATTCAGAACCTCCCTCCCTCAGGTGATGAGGTACCGCGCAACACTCACCTGAAGGGTCCTCGTCACCATCCTGACGAGCACAATGATGACTGGGGAGATGAGCAGCACCACGGCCAGGATGGCGATGCCCACCACCACGTGACTGTTAGACGACGTCACCTGCAGCAGTAATTTACACGTTGGGCGAACGAGCAAGTTGAAGTATAAAAAACTTGTTTCATTGTTATTAGTTTTACAGATGGAGAGAGAACGAAGAGAGATAATGAGTTACCTCCGAGAGGATGGTCTCTTCAATCCTAATTCGGATCTCATACTGGATCTTCTGTAGAGCATCAAGGTAGCCCAGCATGGCGTAGAAGTACTCAGTAGCTTTGTCAAAGTCTGGCTGAATCTTTACGCGGTTAACGATTTCCTGACGACGACGAGTGATGTTGGAGTACCAGGGGTATGTATCCTGCAGCTGCAGGTACCTGGTGGGGGAAGAACAAAGTGTGTACGGGGCGAGTGTCTCATCATGTCATAATGAATATTACTTCATACTGAAATGAGTAATATTGACTATAAACCAACTCTAGTTAACATTTATCAGTGTACAACTTTTCACGAGTCTCTCATCTAGGTCCGTACACTAATACTATAACGTATTATGTGGTGTCATAATATTCTCCCTAACCTCACATATACAGTACAATGAATGATGAAAACTCTATAATAAAACAACACTTTCTCATGATATTCAATTTACCTGTCCTTAATCCAGAAGGCAAAACTTTTACTTGCGTTGAGGAAATCTTGACCAAGGGCGTCGTTGGTGACGAAGTTCAGGTAAGATGTGTGGTCGAGGTCCCCTCTGCCGAAGTACTCCTCCCCAAACACCATGGAGATGCCCAGGTGTTCAATGGCGCGGATTAAGTTCTTGTAGGCCAGCAGCGGCCGCCACACCCCTGAGCTGTCTTTTTCTTTGATCTCTCTTGTCAACTGAAAATTAATATACAGAAAATCATCTTTTTGTAAAAATTCTCTTCGATTACACAAAATGAAAACACACAAAGTGAAGAATAAATGTACTTTTATGGCATTAAATCGTGTAATTAATTTCAGTTTTAAATCTACATACTTGACTGATAATCTATTCAACATATAAAATCCATCAGGACAGCGCACCTGGTCGAGGAAGATGTAGTTGGCTCTGTTGTAGAAGCGAATCCCGGCATCGATGGACGGAGTGTCGAACTTAGTGATCTTGTCTCTAAAGTCGTCGAGGCGGATTCGAAAGAGAATCTTGTTCTTAAAGAGAGGATCCTCGATACGGAACATTGGCCACTTGAGGTTGTCAATCAGAGAATTAGTGTAGGCGAAGTGCTCCGACAAGTTCCGTCTTATAACTGAACCATTGGTAAACAGGTAGAATGCAATTTCGGCGCGTTCCGACTGAAGAGCCTCCGTCACATTCCCCAGCCCCGTGCTAATCTGGACCTACAAATATGAACAAGATCAGTTCAGGGTTCCTGTTCTTGAAGCACAATCACTGGTTAATGTTATCAGTTTTCCGGAGACTATAACTCATAAACTTACGGAATACATTGTCACTCTAGTGTCACTAAAAATTCTTCCTACACTATCATTATTCAAGGGCACCGCAGAAGCACTGGTCCCTTTCGTAATTGATTTCTTGCAATATTCAACTTTAACAGTACCTGATCAATTGTCTCCTGCATCTCATACTGGTACTGCAGCACATTCACCATATTCAGACCATTTTGTATGATGAGCGCCATGATGGGGACGAAGGGCAGTAGCAACATCTGTGCCAGGTGGATTTGCTTCCCCCTGCCCGTGGTGGGGTCCAGCCCGCAGCACCCGGTCTTCACCTGTACGGTAAACACATCACTCATTACCATCAATACACGAGTTCTTGTTCTCTCTCTAAGACACATATTATATCTTATTAATATTATTGGTATTGTTATTATTTCGCCACTCAAGAGGTTCTGGAGGTATTGGAATGACCTTGTCTACATGTGTCCGTTTCAGCACCATCGTCAATAATATAATACAGCATAATCTCAACTATATTTGTAACCAGTGTGACCAAACCTCATGGTGTTTATGTTGGTACACAGCAAGAACTAAACCTTTGGGGTAGTCAAATTAGATCTATCCTAACAAAACCCAACCTGCCTCGCTAACTTAACCTGCCCTCACAGTGTACCGAGACCAAGCAAAACAATTTTGTGGTTCAGATGACGTAGCCCCCAAACATTTTGGATAAGTCGGAAATTAATTAATTTATGATGTTTAAATTTTGTACTCAATATCACATGATACAAATGTTGACTGTTATACTTAATATTTTCTTACCGAGTTTATCCAAAGGTTTACCACAACCCGCAACTCACTCAGATTACAACGACATATATTAGTTATAGTGACAGTCTAATGCTCTGATTACTATCGTCAACGTTTACACCAAACCTTAGTAATATGATCATGTTGTTGAGGTCCATCTCTTACTGTACAGGTGAAAGTAGACGTAACATAAAGGGTTGAGACGGAGGCTACATATAAACCTGGTTAAAGATTCCTTTAAATATCTCCTCTGAAATAAAGTACTTGAAAAATAAAATATCTCACACACACTTTAATAATGGCTGAAGTACACAACTCACTTTGTTTGGAGTTGATGAACTTTTCTAATTCAAGACAACTATAAATAATGAATCAATAAACTGTTACTTAGACGATATGTTTGTATACAGCGTCACAAGATCAACATTCACCATTTTCTCTGGGTTGTAATTGACTCCAAGGGATCAGACTTAAGCTATATCTGAATACCATTTTCGATCCCGCATATTACCTTAGAGCTAATGGACTGTCAAGTTCGTCACCAGACCACAGATAAGAGTTAACAAACATTAGATTTTAAAGGCAAAAATAAAGAGCTTTCGTCTGCGTACAGGATCCAAGTGCCATAGTAATCCATCTGCATCACAATATAAAAACTTTCAACACCACCAACACGTGCTCAGGGATTATAACATCCTCCTAACAGATCCTCTCTAGACTGGCCTAAGAACACCAACAATCGCACCTGAGAGACCATCACCCCCAACCGTGCCGTTTGAGAACCACCTCGCGAGACGGTGTCCGAGATACTGCCGCCAAGCCTCCTGCATTAGCTGTAACCCTCCACACGCAACCCATACCTCTCCTGTATAATACGGGAGAGGTATGGGTGTGGAGGGCTACAGCTAACAGGCTGTATTAGCTGTAGCCCTCCACACACGCAATCTATGCCCCTCCCGCATTAGCTGTAGCCCTCCACACACGCAATCTATGCCCCTCCCGCATTAGCTGTAGCCCTCCACACACGCAATCTATGCCCCTCCCGCATTAGCTGTAGCCCTCCACACACGCAATCTATGCCCCTCCCGCATTAGCTGTAGCCCTCCACACACGCAACCTCTGAGGGCGACCCTGCCGATCCTGTGTTGACCTTTCGAGCCACCATAAAGCTCCCCATGGAAGGCAACATTCACCTTTCAACATATCATTGCCATAGTGGACTCGGAGTGACTATAGAGATGAGATTTTGTACTGGTTGGAGTTTTTTGATTTAACATATTTTAATGTATTGTTCATTTGTAGACTTTACTGCACACTTACAGCTACTGTGCTTTAGGTCAGGCATGTTCATCCCGTAGTTGGCAACCGAAATTTTTATCATTCACACTGTTTTGAAAGACGCCATGCAAAGCCCACGTTTCCTTTTACCGGTGAAGTAGTGCGTCAGATGTTTGACTTAATGCCTACAAATGCCAGCAAGGCAAAACGAACATTAATCTGAAAAATACGATTGGTTAAATTTTTTTAAGTCTATTTGAAAAAGTTAGCAATGACACATCTTGGTATTATGAAAGTTTGTCCTTGTAAAGTTGTGTAAGTGCCATCATCTCCCTCCCGTGGCTCGCTGACCTCATCTGACAGTGTGATTTGAGTCAACCTGTTGCTGGTAACGTTACAGAAGTGTCAGTCATTAGCCTCGATAGACAACGTAGTGGCATGGGTCAGGTCAGGACCGGTGTCATGTGACAAATCTTCCGGTGCGATAAACCTTCCGGGCTCGGCAATTACTGATGTCCATTATCGACATCTAAGATGTATGATTGATTTGTGGTTGATCTGTGAGAGCTGAAAATATTAATAAATACATTAACGGAAGATTTTGAATGAATTTCCCATTATATCTTGGGCAAACTGACTACAGTACAGTATAAGGATGATATGAAACATACTCACTACCGAAGACAATGAAAGCACAAAGTGGGCAGTGCTTTGAAGTCGATGGAAATTGTGGGGTAAGAACACAAAAAATGAACCAATCAAACCCAAGGAATCCTGACCTAATCTGCCCTAACCTAACATTACAAAATAATTAAATTTAATACCCAAAACTAAGCATTTACCCCGGAAGGTTTTGCGCCCGGAAGGTTTGTCGCGCCACACAGGTCCCTGTGTGAGGCACCAGACTCCACCAGCAGGGCCTCGAAAACCTTAAAAACAGCTTCGCTCTTAAGTCCTCCAAAGCTGAATAATTTCCGGGCTCTTTTATGTTCACAATTAACACGTATACTATAATTCCGACACAATGACTTATGTTTATGAATTACCTTCAACCTTTGGTACTAATGTATCAAACACTGCGAAAGTTGTACCAATATTTCCCGTATTCGAAAAAGAATGTTCTAAAATTCTTGTGTACTATAATTTAACCCTTTGAGTTTGAGGATTTAACTCTTTCAGTACGATGGTAATTCCTTGAGTAGGAGGATTTAGCCTCGGGTGCAACAACATAAACCCTTGCATACAATTTCAGCGGATTCAAGGGAACGGTTTATCTAATGCAAGGGATTAAAACATCGTACTCAAGGGAGTTAAGTAAACGTACTCAATGGGGGCTAATTCATTGTACTAAGGAGGTTAAGTCCTCGTATTCAAAAGGTTTACATATTGTACTCGCTGAACTAATTCACTAATTGGAGTCATGATCACTTTTCCTTCTCTTCGTCCGTCCCTCACACGGACCAAGTCTCCACACCACGCCTGGGACTGCGTAGAAACAATCTTATATAAACACAGTAACAATTTTACTTTAATCGATAGAATCTAAGTATGGGACAAATCCTTTGAGAGTTTGTCACAAGTCTCTTACAACTATCAGCAAGGATGCTACCTGGCGGCATTTTATCTTTTTTTTTTAATCAATGGTACAGAGTCATTGAGCTGAATGTTGCTTTGTTACATTACGTCAGAGTAAATTAATAAATCGTCGCTTGAATGGGATAACATTAACTCGCCAGGCAATTATACATCTACATGTAGTATAAACTATCAACATTATCGACCACCGAGGAGTAGGGCCTACTGTACAGACATCGGACGTCGTATACAATACACAGGCTTAAACACACACCACGACACACAAATGGGATGAATATCGCTATACTTTAGCGCCAGCTCCTGGTCACCTGAGTGACGGCTGTAAGACGACACCATCACTCACAAATGCTACTTCGTAACTTCCAAGTCTATAATACTTATGTTAGGTCTTATTTCAAGAATTAAACTTAACGCCTCACCTCCACCAGCTTATTTTCATCCTCGGAGTCGAGGGAGAGGACGGAGGAGCGACGTTCCATATCACCCTTCAGAGTCCCTCCGCCCATCTTGGCAACTACGTCCTTCTCGCCCTCACTCAGTGAATCCTCAGCTGGTGCCTCAAACAACAACCCGTTGTCAGAATCCTAAAAGCATCCTTGTAATAATGAGGCGTTCGTGACAGGTTGGCCGTCGTCAAGGAGGAGTTTAGACGAACGGGAAGGGGCCAGGGTGCGTGTGTGACGGGATGTGTAGAGCACGGCGGCGACTGCACTAGTGACCCGCCACCACTGGCCCACCCTCCACTGGCGTCACGGAAACACCAGCCAATCACCTTGATTCACGATACGTCGTTGTATAGGTTATTAGAGCACCACATATTCTGACTATACCTACTGCAGAAGTTGACCTAGAAATACATACTCTTAAGACAACATGTACTAACATCTCTCTTAACACTGTAACTCATCTCGACTCTTTGTTTGTGTACAATAACTCTGGTGATTATTTCCATTAACAGTAGTTTCGAAATAAAAACTCCATCAAACAGAGTATTATAGAGATAATTCTTGATATATTTCGAGACATTCAGAAGAGAAAGGATAGAAATAAGAATACCAAACAGCCATAGTTAGATAAAGTCTTTGTAGAGCACAACTTCTAAGATGTATATATTACACGAAAACGACTGCTGGAGGATAAGGAAAGTTACCGACATATTCCAGCTTTTATCGCCATCTTCATAACAATATCTTCTAATATTTCCAGATCGGCGTGAGGCTGGCGAAGAAAACGGAGACTCGCTGAAAGGGAATGAGTGAAACATATGGAACGAAGTGTACTCGTAGTGATTCCCTTAGTCCCTTTGCGTGTTATAAACCACATCTGTACTACTCCACTAAGTTGTACTTCTTGGATAATTAGTAGTGACCGAATAATCCCTGTGCACCCATAATGATTAACAATATAGTATTTTCTTGTTATAGTTGAAGGTAAGTAAATAAATTGTTAATTATCTCAGGTACTCAAGTACTTTTCGATCACTGTCACTTACTGGTGCAGGAAGATACAGGTAGCATCTCTGACATAGGCGGTACCAATACTACCCATCTGATGTTTTAACCTAATAGCTGTGACTCTTATACGTTGCTGAGAACAATATTATGCTCTGTATACCTGAAGAGTGATGTATGTGTTACAAGCATTGCATCATTCGGTGTCAGGGACTGAGATCAATGGGTGTCCTCCTTGATGTAAACAACAGACGAAAGTTCCTGGAATTCGCTAAGCAAGACTAAATTTAAGGTGAATAAAAGAGACAATTACAGAGCCCCAAAAGAAAGGTAACACTGTCTAACCTAACAAGACCCCCAATCAATAGTCATCCTTCTTGACCTAGTAGAAAGGTTTGTTGAGACTCTTTGAAGTAATGAATTGTATCAGACGTAGAAATGGAACACAGAGCCGCCTGTCACTGTGTTTATTTGTAGGGGCGATATAAAAGTTTTCAATAGATCACAAACTCTCTTAGCCCTAAAATTTACTCTTTCTTGGCCTTCCACCAACGAGCATCTCCAGAATTGAAACAAAAGCTACCTTCCTTTTTTACCATTAAACACATTTAAATTTGTTTCTCTATAAGTGAGATATTATCTTGTTCACCTACACACAAGCACACCGAGGGAGTCACGTGTGCTTTTTGACACTACAGACGACCAGTGTCTGGAGAAGTATTAGACAAGTAGCAAATGTACAATGGCCTTAGTGATAATAGGTTCAATGGTATTTTGTGTTGACATGATATATATAAGCCTGTGTGCCGCGATATAGGTATAATTGCCGATTAAACTTTAAAAAGCAATTGATGTTTTTGCCAAATGGGGATAACATTATGTTTTCATTGCTTCAACTCAGTGAAAATTGGGTGGTGTATGTTAAAAATTTGTGGTTTCATTTACCATCATAATACAGTCAAATTATACCTTACGTCGGTTCACAAATACAATTGTTGATTATGTTACGGAGTTTGCCATATTTGTTTGCGCAGTACTGAATAATTGTGTACGTTGAGTGATGTATCAACAAATCAACTTTAAGATCAAGCCTTCCCAAAATTAGTGTATGCTGCAGCCCAGGTGTTTAGTAGTAGATAATGAAGGCAGAATAAAGTTTAGGTTTTACCTTGTGTGTTTGTGTACCCAATGAGCATCACTGATCCACACACCTGTCCGGTCACGGGGGATTGTACACCTACACATACGCGCGTGCACGCACGCAATCTATCTATCTATCTATATATATTATTGTGTGCTGCTGAGATATGAAATCACATCAGGCGGCGCCAGAAACTAGCACCATCTCCAATTAAAACTAGATCTTTATAATACTGGATGACAACACCCCTCAGACCGTAAATAACATTCTCAAACCGTCAAACTAATGTAGAGTGAGTCACAGTCCAAAGATTCTTTAGTTTCGTACCATAAATAAAGTGTTTCGTATGTTCTTAGCCGTAACATATATCACGCAGTATACTGGCCCTGGGGGGTCACAGTCTCAGGCCCCTCCCCTCGACCATCTCCTTCAGATTAAGGTCATTATCGTATGTAACAATAATTACCGTATTTTGATGTTACTATGATAAGTAACTTTGGCTTATTCCTGACGTAAGTTTGGTCAATAAAGATCCATGATTGATCTCCGTATAGCAAGTTAGCGGACATGAGCGCCTTTATTAGCTTGGGCCGGAGAGCGGCCAGGGGTCAGCACGGGGGAATGTCGGTGCCTTGGTGATTGGAATTTTCCAATAGAGGTCAAGGAGGTGACGGTAAATTATGAGATTATAATTACTTTCTGTTACTCCAACAGAAACGGGAAATGGTGAAATGTTTTGATTAAAGAACTTCAAGACGAAGAAACAATCCCGATGGTAATATAAATGAAAAATATCATCGTAAAAGCTGTTCTAAACAGTTGTCATTTTTTTTTTCGTTTTCAGGTACAAGTAAAACTGGGCGGGGCAGTGAGGGGTGGTGGGCCGGGCAATGAGGGGTGGTGGGCCGGGCAGTGAGGGGTGGTGGGCCGGGCATGAGGGGTGGGCTGTGACGGTGGGCCGGGCAGTGGTGGGCCGGGCAGTGAGGGGTGGTGGGCTGGGCAGGAGCAGGTAGTGAGGGGGTGGGCCGGGCAGTGAGGGGTGGTGGGCCAGGAGGGGTGGTGGGCTGGGCAGGTGAGTGAGGGGTGGTGGGCCGGGCAGTGAGGGTGGTGGGCAGTGAATGGGTGGTGGGCCGGGCAGAATGGGTGGTGGGCCGGGCAGTGAATGGTGGTGGGCCGGGCAGAATGGGTGGTGGGCCGGCAGGAATGGGTGGTGGGCCGGGCAGAATGGGTGGTGGGCTGGGCAGTGAATGGGTGGGCTGAATGGGCTGGGTGGGGCAGTGGTGGGCCGGGCAGTGAGGGGTGGTGGGGGTGAGGGGTGGTGGGCTGGGCAGTGAGAGGTGGTGGGCTGGGCAGAGAGGTGGTGGGCCGGGCAGTGAGAGGTAGGGGCTGGGCAGTGAGGGGTGGTGGGCTGGCAGTGAGCGGGCAGTGAGGAGGTGGTGGGCTGGGCAGGAGGGGTGGTGGGCTGGGCAGTGAGGGTGGTGGCCGGGCAGGAGGTGGTGGGCCGGGCAGTGTGGGTGGTGGGCCAGGCAGTGAGGGTGGTGGGCCGGGCAGTGAGGGTGGTGGGCCGGGCAGTATGAGGGCAGGTTAATGACGGTGGTGGGCGGGTAGACGGGTGGTGGGCTGGGCAGGAGGGGTGGTGGGCCGGGCAGTGAGGGGTGGTGGGCGGGTAACGAGGAGTGGTGGGCTGGGCAGTGAGGGGTGGTGGGAGGGGTGATTTGTTTTTTGTTTTTTGGGGGGGGGGGTTTGTTTTGTTTTTAGAGAAAGGAGGGGTGAAGGAGGATTAGTGGTGGGGGAAGGACGTTATAGTTCGGAAATTGAAGAAATTTAGGAGGCGGTAAGAGAGGGCGGGCTGACCGCCTAGCTAAGCTAATGGTGTGTTAGGGTTGTGTCATGGGTTAGTTATTGTCTGTCGACACAGGCACTAGACAGTCTACCCAATCCCATACATGGGTGTTTTGAGGGTCTTATTTCATATTCCGCCGACTCTACTGGCGGATGCTGGTCTAGGGAGGTTGTCTATTGCCTGGTCGTATAGATCGGGAGTGGTAATGGACCTTTTGAAATTTTTCTTAACTTTTGGGGAGCCATGTATGGTTGTTGTCGTAATCTGGTGGGAGTCTTTGAAGGAGTTTTTGCTCTGGCCGTTCTATCTTTTGCTAGACTCTGCTGGCCAGGGTGTGCAGCTGCTGGTTGATGGGTTTTATTCTCAGATCTCTATGTATCTCGGCTGTGGTTCTGGTGAAGGTGGCATCTTTCACCTGTGACGAATCTTAGGGCTTCATATTGGACCACCTGTAATTTTAATATTTAAGTGGGGCTCCTAGTATGAAGAGGTATTGCTGGGTAAGTTAATATCGGTGTGATAAATGATATCGGTGTGATAAATGATGCCACCAGGCGAAGTTTTATTTTCTCAGGAAGCGCTTTAAAGCGGTATAGTTTTCTCAGCTCTCTTCTTGCCTTTTCCTTCCTGGTGTGAACATGATGGGAGTAACCTGTATACTGGAACTGAAGACCAAAGCTAAGGTCACACGGTTAAGTGGCGACACCCGAAAGTCACCAGGTAACCCGAGTGAGGCCAACACCGTCAATGCCAGGTCGATGCGACCTGGCATGATCGTAACCCAGCAAGCCTTGGCCCAAGTAACAGTTCCGTGAAAAAATAACAGTAATCACATTCTTTTATTCATATATTTATTTGGGTGTTCGGATACTAAGTTTATAAACATGCTCCCAGTAACATTTATTCAATGTTGTGAGAATTTATAACCTAGGCCCGTTAGAACTATATGTATACAGACTATTTTATACTAAGCCTTCGGTACACAAGGAGGCATCATATAGACGGAACTGCACTCGACCATCTTCATATCCCAAATGTAGAGTTAAATACACATTTACTGCTGGGTGGACAAGAGCTGCTCCAGAACTCGAACTAGCTACCCTACCTTACGTTCTCCTATTATACAGCATTAAGTTGTATTATTTGAACTTCTGGGCCTACCCAGGAGAGCCAGTCCAAAGAGAGTGAGGGAGGAGGGAGGGCACTCAGCCTACCATTTGTCTACGAGTGACGTGACATGATGAACATGGGAAGGTGCTGGATGAAGAAGTTTGAACAGGAGACAGTGCAAGACCAAGGCCATCCGCACCTCCCTACCAAATTTCAGCTTTCTATCTTGAAAACTATGGAAATGCATAAGGAACACACACACACACACACAATATATATATATATATATATATATATATATATATATATATATATATATATATATATATATATATATATATATATATATATATATATATATATATATATATATATATATTCGTCACTTCACTCGTAGACAAATGGTAGGCTGAATGCTCTCCCTCCTCCCTCATGGACAACACGGCTGGTTGGTGGAACCTTGAGCATTTTTATTGTGCAAAGATATACAGTAAAAAAAAAATTATATAAATAAATCACTGGCAGTACTGACCAGGAGACTATTAGCATCAGATTTTTGTAATGATTAATAGAAATGTGGTTTCTTTTTGCAACCCCTAAGACAACCAGATATTCGGAGGAGTATTAACAGTTAGATTTCTTCCCAGAGCCGAGACTATCGTTCACTGTATCACACAGCCTTTTTAAGTGAGCTTCTGAATATTGTCGAGGTATAATTCTGTTAGATAACTTAATATACTTTTAAGTCATGACTGATTTGTCCAAGAGACGGGCGTGATAAGTACGATGCGAACTTAACCATATATAATACATTTCAATTAACGCACCAGGTCAAATGAAATCACTTCATCTTCCGGGCAACAGATCGATAGCCATTACCAAAGACCAATATTGGTAATAATGGACACTACACTAAGAGGGCGCATGTGCGAGGAGAGGAAAGACTGTGTGCGTCACTATCTCCCTGCAGCGCCTCAACACCACCAGCCAAGCCCGCTAACGCTACCTACTTCCACCATCGAGTCCGCATGGGATACACAACTAGTTTTTAATTATAATTTAGTTGAAGAATCGAAAAAATTTAACTGCTCTTAGCGTAGCTACCGAGGCATCGGATAGCAGCGGGATAATCAATCGTGATATTTTTTAATCAGTGTCAATACAGCTGAGAGCGAGGCTAAGGCTGGCGGGAGGGAGTAGCCCGAGCACAAGGGTTCACACACCACCACCACGTCGCCTTCTCCTGCGAGTCCAGCTCAGCTCACACGGTGGCTAACACCAAATACCCGTGGTACCTCACACCATTTAATCTCTATGAGTTAAGCATGAAGAGTAGCGAAAAGCGTAAGGTGAGCCCTGACAAAGGGGACGGGGGAGGGACCAGAAAAGACGCCGACATGGACCTTCCCCCCATGCCCAAGAGACCGTCTCTTGTATCTATCGACAGCGAAGATGAAAACAAAATGGTTGAGGTAAGAGCAAACACATAATTTCGTTGTTTTTGGAAATTCCCTTAGTTATTTATGCAAAATTCCTCTGAAAAAATACCCCGTTGTTTTTGTTTACAGTCGGTGTCGTCAGTGAGCATAGAACGTGAAGTTAGCGAGTATGTGAATCACTGGATGATACATTAATCAAATGTCTGAATGAAAATTAATTAGTGACACCTAAGCATTCATTATTGACAGTCCAAAATAATTAAGAAGAATAGTGGTTCAGTGGGACATATATTGTGAAAAGGCGTCTACCTTCCTTAATGTGTGTTTGATAACGTACATGACTGAAGTATCTGTCAAACTAATTAAACATAATATATAAAACTGAGGTACAGCTGGACGATCATAGAACACAGACCCGAGACAGTGATTGAAGACAGTAAAGGTATTCTGTAATTATTGGTTGAGAGCTCAGGAATTGTTTGCTTAATATCATACCACTTAACGTAGGTGAAAGCTTCAAAATAAGTTAATCACAACCACTCATTACCAAGTAGGCAAAACATAACTGAACATTGAGAAAACATCACCATAACAGCAGTTTTAAATGACAGGTTAAGACGGGTATATGCGGCCTCGACCCCACTACTGGGAAAGGGAAGCAGATCCACCTAATCCAGATGCTGCTTCTCCCTTTCGTCCCCATCATGGCGCTTATCATCCAGAACTCCATCAACATGGTCAGCATCCTAGAATACCAAAACGATATGCAGGAAACCATTGACCAGGTGAGGTTATACTACGCGTGTATGAGTGTTAAGGGAGGGGATGTATGTCAATTACCGTGGCAAATGAAAAAACAAACTAACACTAAATCAATACATCCCCAACAGGTACAGATCAGCACAGGCTTGGGTAATGTGACGGAGGCGCTGCAGTCTGAGCGAGCTGAAATTGCCTTCTATCTCTTTACCAACGGATCAATCATTCGTCGAAATCTTTCCGAGCATTTTGCCTACACGAACTCCCTGATCGAACACCTTAAGTGGCCAGCTTTTAGAATAGATGACCAACTATTTCAGAACAAAATATTATTTAGAATCAGATTAGATGACTTCAGGGACAAGATCACGAAATTCGACACTCCAAATATTGAAGCAGGCATCGCATTTTACAACAGAGCAAATTATATATTTCTGGACCAGGTGGGAATCAACTCGAGTGTATAAGTACATTAAATTGATTTTTTTAATGAATATATAAACTAGTGTTTTCTTGTTTTAAAACGTACTGTTAAAAAACAATGATTTTTCTTGAAGGTTATAATTATGTAAAACAAGGAAAACATACATTGGTCTTTTTGTCTACAAAATTTGGTATTTCTCACACTACAGCTAACGCGAGAGATAAAAGAGAAGGACGCCTCTGGGGTGTGGCGGCCGCTGCTGGCCTACAAGAACATGATCCGCGCCATCGAGCACTTAGGCATCTCCATGGTGTTCGGTGAACAGTACTTTGGTAGAGGCGACCTCGACCAAAGCTCGTACATCGCCTTCGTCACCAACGACGCTCTAGGACAAGATTTCCTCAACGCTTCCCAGAACTTTGCCTTCTGGATAGGAACACGGTACCAGGCGATGCAGAAAGACTACCCGTGGTATTCAAATATCACTCGTCGTCGTCTGGAAATTCTTGGCAGGGAAAAGATCCAACCAGATTTTGAGAAAGCGACAGAATATTTTTACGCCATGTTGGGCTACCTTGACTCTCTACAGAAAGTTCAGTACGAAATCAGGTAAGATTTGTGTGTTCTTTCATTACCTGAATATATATATATATATATATATATATATATATATATATATATATATATATATATATATATATATATATATATATATTTGTTTTGTATACATCTTCAACAGACTGAAGATGAGGTAATATATATATATATATATATATATATATATATATATATTCAGGTAATTGTTATAACTAATTGAGGTTAGATTGACCTCTGTAACTTTTGTATATTCTCACTAGAAGACTCATACTCTGGTGCTTCACACACACACACACACACACACACACACACACACACTCAGTGGTCTGTCACGGCTCCTTGAAATGAAGGCAGTGTTAAACCCTTTGTTTATTCCCGCTCTTAACTTGTTTTAGTTTTAATCTCATTATCCTGTAGTTCACTTTGGATAAATTGCTTCTTAGTACATTTTCAGCGTCTTATTCTTTATGTAGCAAGAAAAAACGTTAACTTTTCTGCTAGCCAAAACAGCATGTATGTTTTTTTTAAATAAGTTCAACCATACTTATATCTTACACACAAGAATGTGTACATAATATTATGAAGAGTAACAAAGTTATCTAAATCAGTATTCAGAATAATCCTTTCTCTTACGTAAATTACTGACTGAACTAGACACACCAAGGATACCCAGACCTACTTGACCTTTCACCTCCCTCGCCGTCAGGAAGACCATCGAACAGACGATAGTGAGGGAGGTTCAGGCTTCTAACAGCCATGTAGTGATAGGCATCGCCCTTCTAGCTGTCGTCCTCATCATATCACCCGTCATCATTATTCTTGTCCGGATGATCACAAGGACCCTTCAGGTAAGTTCTCTCAGGTAAGGTCACAGTTTGATAACGTGGCCTATCGTCATACTCACAAGCGCATAAATATTTGGCTACCTTGGTATTCACTTGCCCCAACAAGTATTTGTGTCCCGTTTTCTTTTCTAATTCTGTTATTTTCAGGTATTTATAATCTATGCCATGTAATATTAACTACAGCATTTTGTATCACCAGGCCTTCTCGGAGACGCTTCTTCACAAGACTCACGAGCTGCGGTTTGAGAAGAAGCGGTCAGATAAACTTCTGTACCAGATGTTGCCGTCCAGCGTGGCCCAGCAGCTTCGCATTCATAAGACGGTGGCGGCTGAGACCTACTCTTCCATTACCATTTACTTCAGCGATATTGTGGGATTTTCAGAGCTGGCTTACCAAAGCACACCGATGCAGGTAAGACTATAAACCCAGATGATGTTATACACCCGAGTCCATATTAACTGAACTCGCCGTCATTATCTTGGAGCCTCCCTCCAGCACACTAAAGTTTAACATGACCTGTGGTAAACATTACGCTAAAAAGTTAGGTCAGAGGTCACAGGTTGGGTTAAAGTTATTTATATATTTTATGCCTTAACTTTGGCTTTTAGGTCTCCTTTAGTAAACACGCAGTGGAAAATTACTTTTCGTTTATTCATATAATTTTATAAAGGACTGACGGCGTGATACTTATCCCCAAACGATTTATAGAATAGTTGACAGAATTATGTTGCCCACAGGCACGCTTCTCATTACAGCCTTTGGACCTTAAAACCTGCATATAAATGTAAACAAAATTCATTACCAAGATATACTGAAATCAGGCGCCTTTGTCACCCTCTAACACGATGATGTGGTGGTGACGGCAGGTTATCTCGCTGATGAATGTGCTCTACAAGATGTTCGACTCCCGTATTGACTGTTATGACGTGTACAAGATCGAGACTATCGGGGACGCCTACATGGTGGCGTCAGGCCTACACATGAGGGAGGAAGGTGAGTACACACACTACCGTACACACACACACACACTCTACCGTACACACACACACACACACACACACACACTCTACCGTACACACACACACACTCTACCGTACACACTCACACTCTACCGTACACACACACACACTCTACCGTACAAACACACACACACTCTACCGTACACACACACACACTCTACCGTACACACACACACACACACACACACGAGTACCAGAGTGAGTAGTGAGGAGGAAGGCGGGTATAGGACAGAGAGAGTCAATATTATCTTGTTCCTCAGTGAAAGTAGACACCAAGTTGCCGCCTCTAGACGAAAACTGGCTAATGTTTTTTTTTAGTATACCCAACAAATTTGCGATTATACAAAAACACGTATATCGAGAAACATGATTCATGGTACACTTGCTGTCTGGACATTACAAAAAGAAGAGTATAGTAAAGAATACAGTATTGATGCTCATAGGTATTGGAAATGAACCTCTTACTAATCGTCACAATTGTGGATCAACTGGTAAAGAAAAAATCATTGCATTCCCTAATCGATTCACATCCCGGTTCCCAGTGATACTTGGTCACACTCATCCTGCTGACTGGAGAAATACATCCTGTAACTCTAAAGAATATACTTTCGTCTATTTCTGTGCAGAATACTTGCGGTTCTTAATATTGCTCTTTTAAAGTAAATATATTTCGTTTCTAGGGTGTAGGGGGTCGTCCGTACTACTAAATTTCTCCATGCATGAGACTGAGACAATATCATGCTGAGGAGAGATTAATAAGGTACAGTATATGTGTGGGGGATCTGACTTACGGAAAAATCGAGTATCATGATTAGGAAGGGTAATGCTGGAACCAGAATGACGTATGGAACACTGGGTTAGGTAGAAGTGGCAACATGATGTGTACAATAGGTGAGACAATACGTACACGTTGTAGAGCTGACAACTAACAGGTCTACGCCGCTCAGTGCATGATGGAACATGATAGTGGGGTCCCACATTGAAAACTGGTCAATATTTTGATAGATGTCCAGTTAATGGTAAAAAAATGGATTAATATTTTCTTATATACACTTGAAAATACAACTAACCCTTACGTGTCTTTAGTCGAGTCTACAAACACAACTGTTAATTTATTAAATCCAGCCGAAAATATTTTATACGATGACAATTATTACTGAATTAGTAAGTTTGGATGGGACGGCGGGACAACCATCGATTACTATCTTTGACGGTGCAGTACGGCGCTTCAACAACTAAAGCGTACTGGATTAGTAATTCCTGTACACAAGTCACTCACAAAAAAAAAAGAAATTCATCCCTCTAGTTTTTATACAATGATTTGACGTTATAATATTAACAGTGGGCTTCAATAACTTTGGCCTCTTTCACACGGGTGTTTTTTTTTCTGTAGCCTAAGATCTATAGGCGCGTAACAATGTTAGTAATTATTATATAAGACAATACCTGGTGTGAAAAAATTGCTAGTGAAAAATCTTCCTTAGCTCAGTGTGTTTACCGAATTCTCACACCGCTTGGACAGGCAAGGACCACGCAGGAGAAATATCTGCCATGGCCATCGACCTCCTACATGGCACTGAGAACTTCGTCATCCCTCACATGCCTGGGGAGCGTCTCAAGATCCGCATAGGCATCCACACGGGACCTGCTGTGGCTGGCGTCATTGGTACCAAGACTCCGCGATATTGTCTATTTGGCGACTCTGTCAACCTAGCCGCCAAGATCGAGTCTACCGGACTACGTAAGTGACAGTTATTGATTATAAAATTATATATGAAGAGGACTCGGTATGCACACATTACTAGTAAAGACATACCTGGTACAGCTTCCCCAGTATTTCTCACTCTCTCCACAGCCTTCAAGATCCACATCTCACAAGACACCAAAGACTGTCTGGACCGTGTGGGCGGGTTTATTGTCAAGCTCCGCGGAGAACTGGAAATAAAGGTAAGTATTGTAAACAGTCTGTTGTTTGTGTGGTTTGGTAAGAATACAAAAAATATGATGTATGAGGCCATGAGACTAGAAATATAAACAGTATCAGTAAAATATATACCTGAACATAGAACTTATAACCCCAAGTGAAAGTAAAATGAAGTGTTACAAGCTTTTAAGTATAAAGTATTGTATAATATAGAGCGAAGTTACTCAAGAGGCGTCCTAAGAGAGAGTAACTGTTGTCAGCTTTCGCTTCTTCAATAATTTTTTTTTCGGATGAAACACTAAATCTTGGAAAAATTTTCAATACTTCAAATACAGTTTCAGCGGCGAGCACAGGAAAAAAAAAGACATGATTTCCATAAGAAACAACATTCAAACCTCGACTTTACTTCAGCGATTCCAAACAAAAACATCCCTGAAATATGTCTGACTTCAGGGAACCGAACCACTGAGTCTGGGGGAGTGTGTCAGCGCTCAGTGGTTCCTTGTTATTAGAACCACACAACACATACTGTGGTTCAGGTACATTTCATAAATCGTTAGAAACGCGGAGGCTACGTCCTACCCGCCGCCTCTAAGGTAAATTTCTTTGTTCCGCCACCAGATGTGCATTTAATGTATTATTGAACTGAATATTTTAGCGAAAATCCCCCCAAAAAGCAAACCATTAGTTAGGGCTCAAGTAAACATTTAATGTCCATATGTTTTTGAGTATGGTTGTCCTTATGATTTAGAACCTTTACAATTATCGCTAAAGGAGTACACAGCCTTCGTATGTGAATGTGAGATAATGTCATCCACGTCGAACATTTGGTGAAATAAAAACAAACAACATAACGTTTAAAACTGGGAACTAAAATCATAATCTGAAGCATCGGTACATTAACATTAAGCATTGGTTTGTTGAGGAGCGAAGTTGACACCACAAGTCACACCAAACAGAAATATATATATATATGGTTATTTGTACGATAACTTACAGGGCCGAGGAGTGATGGACACGTACTGGTTGACGGGGAAACACGGGGTACTGCCAGACCGCCGTAGATACTCCAATAAGGACGACGACCTGGAATTCATGGCAGACAACCCACACTCGGAGGCAGCCCGGCGTGGCAAAGACGGCCCCACCACACATCAAACTTCCTTCTTCAGGAGGACCATTAGTTTATGCAAAGATTTTCTTGGCTAAGATGGTACTACAGTAGCGGAATTAGGGATCATATCTGTTGTGTGTATTGGTGATTTTGTCTTCACAGTTTATAATTCAAAGATTTGGATTTTAAGTTTATCAATGTTGCTGAGTTGTGAAACTGTGTCGATTTGTAAGGTTTAAAGGCATAGGTACGAGTTTATTACCACGCAATCCCAGGAGTAGAGGAATGTGTGGAATTATTTCTAACCCAACATACTAAGACACAACCTACTGCACTCTCTTTAACACCTCCCGCTGCTGCTGCTCCCTCTCAACCTCCTCCTTCACACTAACTTGACGTTTATCTTCCTCACATCACTGTAGAGTTATCATCTTCCTCCTCCTTTGTATGTGTTTCCCTCACACAGTGTGGCTCACCACCTCTTCAGGTTATATTTACTGAATGCAATATTGCACTAACATATCCTGGGAATTTTCATCACAGTGGCGGTGTAAACTCTTCACTCTCCCGACAGCTGTTTTCAGTCTGCAATAAATTAGGTATATTATTCCAAGCGCGTGCGCAAAAAAAAAGGGGGGGGCTAATGTTAAAACTCTCACAACGATTATAAAGCACAGGGCTCAAAGTGCAGTGGAACTCTCGGTAACGCTGAGGTGGTTCAGCAGGAACACCGCGTTCTGGTTAAAATTTTAAGATCCCTAGAAAAAAAAATTGCATCTTCAGCTTTAAAATGTATCCTAATATCTAGTGCATATG